AACTCTGCACAGCGAATCGCGGTGCCTTAGACGACTGGGCCACCCGTGCCCCAGATATTGTTATGAAAGTAACAAGATGTTTACAAAAACTAAACTACAACTGTATCTTCATTTTGACACACACAAAACGTACACTTGAAAGTTAACATGTGCTCAAGAATCTGTTTTGAGATGTTTTTAGTATGAATTGTGTTTACATTTGAACAAGAGCAAGCTTTTGGCCCAAGTTAATTTTCGTACCTGATGGAGACAAGTTGTACACACATGGTAAAATCTTCATAGTTAGATTGCTCTTAAATTTCGAAAGTCGTTTTGGTCATAGTAGTAAATTCTTTGAAAATATTTGATCTTGGCAAAAGTCCAAAACATACGGACCTTTAGTAAACAAATGCTACATGAAGTCGTAAACCATTTGAACATGTGTGATTATTTTAATACCAATATTTGACCGCATACAGTAACATTACATTTTCCAGTGCGGCGAAAAAATCCTTTTCCTATCCCGTCCTTCCATGTGTCTTACACCTGATCTCTCGTTAGTAGAGTCCTCGTGTTTATAGGTTGCTCACAAATGGTAACTGACTATGACCTACATCTACGTCACCATCATGTCCTGATATTTTATTTGGTGCAAATCTGCGTTAAATTCACCATCAGTGACTAACGCAGTTATACTTGATTAAAACCAATTAATTTTCGAAATTAATGTTCTCTTAACTAATTCAAATTAACAGCTTTCAATAACGTATGGCGTTGAAACGATTAGTTAAGTTTACTTTGATGCATGTTATGTGAAAGCCTGTTTATATCTTTCTAAATCAACCACACGTGTGTCTGGTGTTTCAATGAAAAATGCACAGCTCAATGAAAAACCACGTTGTTTCTATAAGCGGAAAGTTAGCATTTAGCATTAATCAGAAAAGCTGAGACTAACATTTAGTTTCTGAAATATATACATTTAACTTTTCTTGTTAAATTGTCTTTCAATATTTAATAAAAAGAAACCCAGAGAATGTCGTCATTTTCAGAACTGAAGAAATCTCTATCTTTAAGTGGCACTGTTGAAGTTGTTGTATCACTGAAGCCTCACAGAGTTGACCTTTGGATTTAATCTTCTTAATTCTTTCAGGGCGATGTTTCAGCACAGGTGCTCGAACCTTTATCAAGTATGAACGATAAAAACAATAAAAAAGTTGAAACCCATGAGCAGACCGCTGAACTACGATGAACATGCTTATGAGTTTTCGTGTATTTTTGTTTCATGGTATAAATTGTATTTGATAACAGTACTATACTTTAACAACTGTTTTTTTCTGTAAAACATGTTCATTTCAGAGACTAGATGTTAGTCTATTAGCTAGGGTCCCGTACACTACATTATATGTCTAGGGTCCGGTACACTACATTATATGTCTAGGGTCCGGTACACTACATTATATGTCTAGGGTCCGATAAACTACATTATATGTCTAGGGTCCGATACACTACATTATATGTCTAGGGTCCGATACACTACATTATATGTCTAGGGCCCGAAACACTACATTATATGTCTAGGGTCCGATACACTACATTATATGTCTAGGGTCCGATACACTACATTATATGTCTAGGGTCCGATACACTACATTATATGTCTAGGGCCCGATACACTACATTATATGTCTAGGGTCCGATACACTACATTATATGTCTAGGGTCCGATACACTACATTATATGTCTAGGGTCCGATACACTACATTATATGTCTAGGGTCCGATACACTACATTATATGTCTAGGGTCCGATACACTACATTATATGTCTAGGGCCCGGTACACTACATTATATGTCTAGGGCCCGGTAAACTACATTATATGTCTAGGGTCCGATACACTTCATTATATGTCTAGGGCCCGGTAAACTACATTATATGTCTAGGGTCCGATACACTACATTATATGTCTAGGGTCCGATAAACTACATTATATGTCTAGGGTCCGATACACTACATTATATGTCTAGGGCCCGGTACACTACATTATATGTCTAGGGCCCGGTACACTACATTATATGTCTGAATGTCAATCACGGTCAAAGACAGACGAGTCAAACAACCAGAACAAATTTCATAGTAAAGTTCACGCAAGGGCATTGTTGTATCCCCTCGTCCGTTCCTCGTTAATTATCAAGTTGACTGTTTTCTGTCAGTACTGGGGGCTACGGGGCGACCCGTTGGAAAAGTCAATGCGTACTGTATGAATCTGTATGTCAGATTGTAGAGAAATAATAAATCTATGTTTAAAGTATTCCTAGTTTAACCAAATTTATTTAATTATTTTTTCGATTAACGCGATCATGAGGTATAGTTCTAAGGGAGTTGAGAATGATAACTGGAATGCATATGGATCCACTGTTCGGGGAGCAAATAAACGCATCTGGACATACACAAGTACCTGGATTAGTGCGGTATTATATATCAGTTAACGGTTTATTCTTCCCCGCCCTTAAGGCGGGGAAGTATACGGGAAACGTTAAATTTGTGGCATGTATGTCGACATGTTGGTTTATTTGAAATTTCAAGCCACGCATTTACGGAAACAAAACATACAAATCATGTGCGTCGAATGTTGATGCTATTCTTTTCCAGCAATAAGAGATACTTCAAAATCGTCTTTATGTAGTTAATTGATGCATCTGACCGTTTCTGGTCATTAGCTGACATTATTAAACCATTCATGTGTAATCCGATGTCCTTTTTTCCTCAAGGACTAATTTTCTGATTTTCACGGTGTATACAAAAGAAGAACTGTGCTCCGGAGATCGTAAATAACAGCATAATAAAAAATATGTTCTGAATATGTTTATTCATGAACAACGACGACATCTCAATTTAAATGTAATATGGCTGAATTCCATATTCTACATACCACACTTTTGATTGTTTGGATGCACATGTTCACTGGAAATATTTGGAATAGTTATATTCCGTATTTTGAATTAACCCAGTCCCCCGTGTGTGTTTTTTAATCAGTGCACCGCACATAACCACATGTGAAACGTTTGATAGCAAAGTCAAAGCAAAATCGGAGTAGTGTGTCAGCGAATTTGCATCAAGGCTGTAGTATTTTTCAACCGTTTAATGGAATTCAATGTACAGCCGTAGCTCTGGTCATTCATATATTTTGTGTCCCATAGCTCAAATCTATTTGCGTCTGTACCGTGTTCCACTGACCTCGATAATCTGTTGGATGAAGGCACAGCTCTCTACAGCCACAAAGTTAACACCGAAGGCTATGAGGAGTATTTAGGTCATAATCAGTCCCCAGCAGCCACTGCCTCAAGCGATATTTTCTACATAACAGATCAGTTTTATGGCTCCGTCACAGGTGCTCCAAATATTGAAGCAGGGAAAACAAATTTCATAGAATCATTTCAAAAAGCAATATTGATATCCACGTCACTTTTGGTAACTTTTAATGATGTCTCCATTGCAATTTTTACGGATTTCGATTCGTATGCATTATTTGACTGTCATCAGCGGAATGGTCTTGGTCAGATTGATCCGAATGGACAAGCGGTTTTACTTCTGTTAAATAGTATGGATGAATTGTCATGTTACATCTTAACAGTATATATATATCAGGCTACTATGCTTGTCGTAAGAGGCGTCGATCCCAATTGCGTGGATCGATGCTCATGATATTAGGCACTGGATTGTCTGGTCCAGACTCGATTATTTACAGACCGCCGTCATATAGCTGGGATATTGCTGAGTGCGGCGTTAAACGACAAACCAATCAATCATCATCATATGAACTCAAACCAGTCATTGTTACAAGTAAACCACATTCCACAACAGTTACTGACACTGGATAAAAGACAGTATATAGAAAAAAACCAAGTAACTCAACTCATCATGATCACAATTACTATTCTTTGAAAGAAAGAAATACAAAAAAAACTGACCAAAAAACGTAAAACAAGGGATCTCCGTTATTGATTAGTCCCGGTATTGAAATGTTCTCCAACTACGTGATAATATTTTGAGTATGTGCATCTGTGGTTGTGACAAAGAGACCTTATCTAGTATGACTTTTTTTTGCCATATGGAGCCCTTAGTATTTGCATTTACATTATTATAACCAAATGCTAAGTGTAAAAAGAATGTGATCTATTTTTTGAGTATGTGCATCTGCCAATGTTGTTGGCAGTTTTGATACTATTTCCACATGTTTACATTTGTGCAAGAAATTGCTTCCATTTCCTTCGATCTACTTTTTAAATAAAGACCCAGGTAAGAATAGGTCTTCAGCAACCTATGCTTGCCGTAAGAGGCGACGAACAGGATTGGGTAGTCAGGCTCGCCGACTTGGTCGATGCATAACATCATATTCCAATTGCGTAGTTCGATGCTCTTGGTGTCAATCACTGGATAATCTGGTCCAGACTGGATTATTTACAGACCTCCGTCATATGGCTGGAATAATGCTGAGTGCGGCGTTAAACAAGAAACTATTTTTAAATAGACCTACCCTATGCAAATGTATCAACTGTATTGCCCAATACTCAAAATAAATAATATTTTTTTCCACAACAGCGTTGTGTTATTTGTGGTTAATATAATTATGCTCCATCATGCCTTTCAGTAACATCATAATTATGCGTTTGTGAGGCATCACATATGGCGGGGAACTTTGATGCTCTGCATCAATGTTTTCTTGTTAACAGTTAGTCCAGGTAAATCAGCTTGTAACTAACGAGATTCAACTGTAGGTTTTGCAAAGGCAGCTGAATATACAAAGCTTACCTAAACCTAAGATATCATTATAAAAACGCTAAAAGCCGTCAGATCGTTAAGGGGTATGGCAAATAAGCAATCAGCCAGAAAATGTATTTCCTTCTTTGGTACATACTTGATTATACTTTAATAAATTTTATTTTGTTTAAAATCTTATTGTCGATGTTTTTAACTGTTTGTATCACGACACGATAATTGTTTTTGTAACATACATTTCAGGATGTCTGACACTTCGTCGGCGCTGACGGAAATATTCGAGGGTCACGTGGGGTTAATCGGTGCGAGTGCACTAACGGTTGTTGGATTAGCGGCAGCAAGCTACTACATGACGTCACGGCCCCCGCAGGTGGTCCCCCCAGTGGACCTCAGTGACCAGTCGGTGGAGCTCCAGGTGAGGGGTTGAGGGGGGGGTTAACAGTTATCTTAGAACAATTGGTAGTTGTTGTAGGAGGAGGTGGAGGAGCAGCAGCAGCAGCAGCAGTAGCAGTAGTAGTAGTAGTAGTAATAGTAGTAGTAGTATAGAAGTAGAGGTCGTAGTATTGGTAGTAGTGGTTGCACTAGCATTAGTACATGTAATAGTAATAGTAATAGTAGTAGTAGTAGAAGTAGAAGTGTAGTAGTAGTAGTAGTAGTAGTAGTAGTGGTGGTATAGTAGTAGAGGTCGTAGTATTGGTAGTAGTGGTTGCACTAGCATTAGTACATGCAATAGTAATAGTTATAGTAGTAGTAGTAGTAGAAGTAGAAGTGTAGTAGTAGTAGAAGTAGTAGTAGTAGTAGTAGTAGTAGTAGTAGTAGTAGTAGTGTTATCACTTTAATCATCATCATCATCAATTTCATGATGACATACGTTCTGACTTCAGGATGGAAGTCGGATGACCGCCTACCCGAAGGCCAGGGGTCAGTTGATGCACTACCTGTACAAGGACGCACAGACCCTGTATGAAGTCTTTCAGAGGGGCATACGCCAGTCTAGTAAGTTCAGACCTGTCCGGCTACGCCCGTGGGTCTCTGCAACGGTTTTTTATCCAGGTTTTATTCCCAATGGTGAAATGTGTTGGGTACAAGTTGACCAGCTTAAAACAAAACCTGATACATTTCTGCTGACAACGAGGCCACTGAAAAAATTCAGAAAAAAATCTTTTATTGGTATTGACATGTTACGTTAATGATATCGCGGAGTAAAATATGAAACTCGATTTGGAAGTTCTTCTGAAAATACAATCGTCGATATCAAAATATACATAGGCGTGTGAATGTACCTGGGCCCTATTCCACAAAGCGACCGCAGCGGTAAGGAGATTGTAACATCCAAACTTTAACACAAACTTACGACAGTCGTAGCCCTACGATCTCTGTGTGGAACAGGTAGCTGGTCTTTACATGTATAGTGGAACCTCGTTAATCCGGACGCATTCTCAGTGAAATCGTCAATCGTGACAGGCAACTTTCCGAATAAGTGAGTGAGTATTGTTTTACGCCGTTTTAGCAATATGCCAGCAATATCACGGTGGGGTACATGATCCTCCAAATATCATGCTTGTCGTAAGCTGCGACTTATAGGGTATAGAAATGGAGTACTGTTTGTTGATTGGATGTCACGGTTCACCAACACCGGACCGTGCGGTTGAGTGTAGATGGAACAACTGAGGCAATACAAACAATATATTTTAATAACGATTTCTGTCGACATTAATGAGCATTGTGTCCGCCTCAATGGTCAGGTGGTAGAGCTTCCGCCCGGAGAGCGAAGGTCCGGGGTTCGGTCCTAGGCCGCATCATACCAAAAGACGCAATAACATGGTACTTGTTCTTACCCTGCCTGGCGTTCGACATTAAGGGGTAAAACAAGGACTGGTCGGTTCGGAGTCAGAATACTGTGTCTGAGTGGGCATTCATGTTAAACAACGGCATGGTATCTCAATGGGCAAGCACTATCAACTTGGCATTAGTCCGGACTAGTACAAGCAGCCACGCACTATGTAAGTGCAGTAACTCCATTTCACCTCATATCACCTACAATGGGTATAGGCTTGGAGTACTACTTGGAGATGCTGATTGTATGTCACCGTACGTCGATTCCGTGGATCGATGCTCATGCTTTCAGTCACTGGTTTGCCTTACTCTGAGTTGATTATCTTCAGGCCGCCGCGATGTAGATGACACAAAATATACACACATAATATCCTACTGTTTCACCTCATTGCAGACAATGGCCCCTGCCTTGGAGCTAGGACCGGCCCCAACAAGGAATTTGAGTGGCTATCTTACAACGAGGTAATGACATTTAATATTTCAAAATACTATCTGATAGTCGCAGTTAAGTGTAATGCCGCTTCGGAGTATAAATATGCCAGATTCGCCCCGATTATGTTTCAAGGGTTGTCAGCACCATACCTGTGCTCGTGGCTTTCACCGAAGTGGTGACCGTGCGAGACCTCAATATTCCAGCTTTCATTGACTCAAGCTAACACGCTGATGCAACTGAAATACTCCCAGCTCTCCCAATCTAATATGTGGTATTCATGCCATAATATTATATTCATTTTTCTTAGGATACGGGTTAGAATAGGTCTTCTTTGCTTGTCGTAAGAGGCGTTTAACGGGATCGGGTAGTTAGGCTCGTTAACTTGGTTGATGCATGTCAACGCATCCAAATTGCGTAGAACGATATTCATGATGTCAATCACTGGATTGTCGGTTCCAGATTATTTACAGACCGCCGTCATGTAGTTGGAATATTGCGCAGCGCGGCGATAAACAACACAGAAACAACACAGAAAAAACCTTTAACTGTTTCTGATTGGCCATTAAATCTTATAAGAGCATTTACGTTGACCTAATTTCTACAAAGATGTGACACGTTTCAATATGGCATCACCCACAAACCCTACAGTATAATATATGTCTGTCTTCACGTGAAGGTATACGAGAAAGCCCGTGCCTTTGGATCAGGTCTTCTTCACAAGGGAGTGAAGCCAGGGAAAGACTCTTTCATCGGAATATACAGCAAGAACAAGATTGAAGTAAGTATCATCCTCGATTGTCCAGGGCAATATCTCTACCGCTATCATGGTAAGAACCCTGGATCTACCAACTTCATGGTCCACCTCTCTAACAGTAACGCCCATGCCACTGAGTGTTATTTGATTGGGTGCGTGTTTTTAGAAGTGAAGGGGTTCAGGGTTTGTATAGATATAGATTTGAGATATAATTAATTCGCCGGATAAAGTTCGTAACTGCAATGTTTCGAACCTTTAACCCGTAGATGGGAGGTTGATGAGTGAGGTTGTACTCAATATTCAAGCAATATCACGGCGGGGAACACCAGAAATGGGCTTAACACATCGTACCCATTGAGGTACATTAAGGTGGATGAGCTACAAAAACTGAAATAATTTGCATCTATTGTAACGTTTCAGTATGCGGCGAAATGCACGCCCTATGCATCTACCAAGCTCTTACCACTAAGAGAAACACAGAAATTGACCGCGAATCTCCCTAAACTTCGGAATCTGAACGGGCTTGACAACGCCACCTTCCTCCATCACATAGCTGTAAAGGCTCGTGAAGCAATGACTGTGCATTAACCGATATGTTTTGCGAATCATCCTGTTAAGATCTGCATCATATAGAATCCCATATTGTGTATGTTTATTGTTTTACAGCAGTCTTCAATACCCCAGCTATATATAGACAGACGATAATCATGTCGGACATGTGTCGGTCAAACCAATGATTGGAAGCATGATCACCACAATGTTAGGTTTTCAACCTACAGTACACTCGTTTCATTTTCTACCCTTTTCATTCTTTCAGTGGACAGTGGCTGAGCAAGCCAACAACATGTTCTCCATGGTAACCGTGCCCTTGTACGACACCCTAGGGATCCAGGCCTGCATCTACATCATCAATCAGAGTAGGTGATGGAGAGACGTTGCTCCAGATATTGACTATATGATTGACGTTGACAATATGATTGACGTTGGGATTCATTCATTCATTTCTGTATGGACAAGGTAGGATATCCGGGTCCTAGGACACCTCAGGAACCTCTACTTGTAAGGACCGACTCGAGAGAATCGGATGGTCAGTTTGTGTGATTTGGTTGATAGCGTGTCATCATGGCGTGGATCGTTGCTCTTGCTTTCAACCACTGGTCCAATACGCGACTGAAGCCGCCGAGATGGAGCTGTAATATTGCTGACTATGGCGTTCAACAAGCACTTATTATCTGTTATCTGTTATCTAGTCATCTGTTACCCGATGTAACAACTATATATCATGTGCTTGACTTTAACAAACTACAGAAAACTACGTTTAAAACGAACTGACGGACATAATGAACTGGTTGTTTATTTTGTCCCGACCATTTCCTGTATATATGCTTATAACGAACTACGTTTATAAACGAACTAAAACTAGTGGTCCCTTTGTGTTCGTTAAAGCCGTAGTTTACTTTATAAGGACGAGTATCTTTGTAAATATATGATAATTATAGATTGTGGTACACTTAATATGCTTTTATCGAAGGATAAAAGTCACAAATTTGGTATAAAAGGGATTTTTACTTAATTTATGACGATGCATGTATCAGCTGAGCTGAGCACCATGGTGTGTAACAGTCATGGTTACGTGATGTCATACAATTTGTGACAATGCACTTATAAATTGTCAGTTGAGCTGAGCACCTTTATGTGTGACGGTCACCGTATGTAATGTCATACAATTTGTAACAATATGTTTCCGACAGCCGAGCTGAGCACCTTTATGTGTGACAGTCACCGTATGTAATGTCATACATTATGTAACAATATGTTTCCGACAGCCGAGCTGAGCCCCGTGGTGTGTGACAGTCACCGTATGTAATGTCATACATTTTGTAACAATATGTTTCCGACAGCCGAGCTGAGCACCGTGGTGTGTGACAGTCACCGTATGTAATGTCATACAATTTGTAACACTATGTTTCCGACAGCCGAGCTGAGCACCGTGGTGTGTGACAGTCACCGTATGTAATGTCATACATTATGTAACAATATGTTTCCGACAGCCGAGCTGAGCACCGTGGTGTGTGACAGTCACCGTATGTAATGTCATACATTTTGTAACAATATGTTTCCGACAGCCGAGCTGAGCACCGTGGTGTGTGACAGTCACCGTATGTGATGTCATACATTATGTAACAATATGTTTCCGACAGCCGAGCTGAGCTTCTTGGTGTGTGACGGTCACCGTATGTAATGTCATACAATTTGTAACAATATGTTTCCGACAGCCGAGCTGAGCACCGTGGTGTGTAACAGTCACCGTATGTAATGTCATACATTTTGTAACAATATGTTTCCGACAGCCGAGCTGAGCACCGTGGTGTGTGACAGTCACCGTATGTAATGTCATACATTATGTAACAATATGTTTCCGACAGCCGAGTTGAGCACCTTGGTGTGTGACAGTCACCGTATGTAATGTCATACATTTTGTAACACTATGTTTCCGACAGCCGAGCTGAGCACCGTGGTGTGTGACAGTCACCGTATGTAATGTCATACATTTTGTAACAATATGTTTCCGACAGCCGAGCTGAGCACCTTGGTGTGTGACAGTCACCGTATGTAATGTCATACATTTTGTAACAATATGTTTCCGACAGCCGAGCTGAGCACCGTGGTGTGTGACAGTCACCGTATGTAATGTCATACATTATGTAACAATATGTTTCCGACAGCCGACCTGAGCACCTTGGTGTGTGACAGTCACCGTATGTAATGTCATACAATTTGTAACAATATGTTTCCGACAGCCGAGCTGAGCACCTTGGTGTGTGACAGCCCTGACAAGGCTCAGCTCATACTGGACCAGGCACAACATCTGCCCTCGCTCAGAAGGATCGTCATGATAGAGGCGATCTCCCAACAGAACCAAGACACTGCCAGCAAACACAACATCGATATGGTCCTGTTCGGTGACATAGAGGTATGTGTAATTAGAGACCTTCAACAAATGAGCAGTGTTCGAAATAGCTGCTTGCCCGTCATACCGTGACCAATAATATTTCAGGCGGACCACATATTATTCAAGTCGCTTTCCTCGTATCCTTTTCCCAATAGCTTTCACATAAAGTGAAACCCCTTTAATCCGGACAGATCCGTTACCCTTGAAATCGTCCGAAACATTTAAAAAACATTGACTCATGGATACATTCGTTCCCAACTGTAATTGTCCGCAAGGCAGGGTTTTCAGATTAACGAAGTTTCAACTGTAATTTATAATAAAGTTTCTCAATCTGATTTCACATGTTACGGAGTTACGGTGGTCAAATCGTTAAGAAAACTTTGTAAAACGGGTCCGTGTAATGTACTTTGCATGCAGCAGGATGGTAGGATGAGAGGAGATTTTATATAATTCCCTCACATACGTATTTTACTACATTCAGGTGCTAAATAAATCTTATTCAAAGTAGAGATAATTTACGGATAGTAACTTCTTTATTCACAGACAGCATAGTGCCCAGATGTAATGTCTAGTATATAGTGTACAACTCAACCTGGCACATGCTGATCTTAACGCGTTCCTCACGGGTTTACCTGTGTTCGTGTTTACGGTCCTTGAACAAATCGGATTTTCGCCCCCACTTGGGTACAATGGGTTTAGCCCATTTTCCGATCTCCCCCGCCGTGATATGGCTGGAATATTGCTAAAAGCGGAGTAAAACAATACTCACTCACACCGATTTCCGCGTCCCCCGACACCTTGTAGTCAGGCTTCTAATCCGTCTATTAGTAAAGAATACCCATTTCTATTTATATAATAGACTGAGGATCATTCTATTAACTTTAAAATAAGAATCGAGAAGTAGATGCTGTTAATATTAAAAATATGTAACATACTTTAAAGTTAAGACTTCTAGGCATCACACATTGTGTTCAGACATCAGAACCAATTTGTATGTGACCTTACGTTTCATTGTAGCTATGAAACCATTTGGTTTTCTGTTTTCAGAAACTTGGACGTGAGAATCCCAAAGACCTAGTAGTAAGTGTTAGCCTCACGTTCTTTGTGGTGACATGTTGCTCGTTAAAACAACCTGAGGGGCAGAAGAAAGTATTCCGAGTAGTTGTTTATGTAGTTGAAAAGAATTACGTCTGTTTAACCATCACTCATTCCTGCAAAAGTATTCTGTGGCTGGGTAATTTTGAGTAAATATGTATTAGTTCATTGAAGACGGGGGTAAGAAATGAATTTGCAACTACATGACCCCTACCATGTTTGAAATGTTGTACAGTTGTGCCGGAAGAGTTTGCAAGTTCTTGTTGTTTGTATTTTCAATGACCGTCCTCTTGTAATGAGGGATCCCCTGATCGTCTGTTCGAATCCCAGAGTCACCCTGGTCAATGTCTTTGGTATCTTTGCACCACTTTTGTTCCTGGGTTTCACCGAAGTGACAAACATCTAAAACGTTTTCACTTTTGACTTTCCTTCCACATTAACATGATCACAACACCGTAATGTCACAGACAGGCTGTACATAACGGCATTGAACACACTCAGTTACTCCAGTTATCCTAATAGTATTCTATGGTTTCTGCAATCGTCAGTGTGTTAACCCTGTCCTTGTTTGCATTCTCTTGCAGCTTCCCACCCCGTCTGATCTAGCCACCGTGTGTTACACCAGCGGCACCACAGGTGATGTACCGTTCCTTCAGTCAATAAGGTTCCCAGTACCTCCTGCGTGCCTCAGTGTGGGGATAACGGGGAGAATAGGTCCCCGACCCTGTGAGAATTACAGTTCAGAAGAGGTCCCCAGCACCCCATGCTTGTCTCAGCGTATGATTTCAGGGACAGAACAGGTCCCCTCTACCCCATGCTTGTCTCAACGATTGATCCCAGGCACAGAACAGGTCCCCTCTACCCCATGCTTCTCTCAACGATTGATTTCAGGGACAGAACAGGTCCCCTCTACCCCATGCTTGTCTCAACGATTGATTTCAGGGACAGAACAGGTCCCCTCTACCCCATGATTGTCTCAACGAGTGATTTCAGGGACAGAACAGGTCCCCTCTACCCCATGCTTGTCTCAACGATTGATTTCAGGGACAGAAAAGGTCCCCTCTAACCCATGCTTGTCTCAACGATTGATCCCAGGGACAGAACAGGTCCCCTCTACCCCATGCTTGTCTCAACGAGTGATTCCAGGGACAGAACAGGTCCCCTCTACCCCATGCTTGTCTCAACGATTGATCCCAGGGACAGAACAGGTCCCCTCTACCCCATGATTGTCTCAACGATTGATTCCAGCGACAGAACAGGTCCCCTCTACCCCATGCTTGTCTCAACGATTGATCCCAGGGACAGAACAGGTCCCCTCTACCCCGTGCTTGTCTCAACGATTGATCCCAGGGACAGAACAGGTCCCCTCTACCCCATGCTTGTCACAATGAGTGTTTCAAGGGACAGAACAGGTCCCCTCTACCCCATGCTTGTCTCAACAAGTGATCCCAGGGACAGAACAGGTCCCCTCTACCCCATGCTTGTCTCAACGAGTGATCCCAGGGACAGAACAGGTCCCCTCTACCCCATGCTTGTCTTAGCGAGAAATTTCAGGGACAGAACAGGTCCCCTCTACCCCATGCTTGGGGTTATGACCCAGTGGTACCTGGGAAAACTAGAGCCCCTATAGCCGCTGCTTATCATTGCATATCACCTTGAGCATATTATCTTTTTTAATTGATGGGAACTATCATTCATTGTTGAATGCATGTCCATGTATGTATCCTTAACATTTACACATACATGACGTGATATATATAATTGTAAACTTGTATTTCAGGTGACCCTAAAGGGGTGATGTTGTCCCACGCTAATCTCATCTCCAACATTGGCGCTGTTATGTTCCACATATTGGTAAGAAATCAGCGTCATTAACTCTGAGTCTCGCGGACCTACATGTCCATGTTTGATATATATAAAGAAGCCAAAGTGTCCTCTTTCGGCTGTGTAATCATCAATATATATAGAAATAGTCATCAATAATCAAAAGGTTATGGTAAACTTATATTATTTTAGAGTTTTACACGCGTAAAAATATGACTCTTGCAGAGTCCTGTCTTAATCAGTCTAACATGTTTAGTTTAGACAGATTCCAGTGTGTTTATTAAAGGATCAACCAGTGTTATCAGATAGAAGATGAGGCGAATGCCTTTTCAATATTTTATGTACGGATCCAAGAAAAGTGGACACAAATAGAATATTTTGTATTGATACCATACCTGGCCATCACGCTTAGGAAGAACAACAATTTGTTTCCCTGCCTGCCCTACAGTCTTGTAGACAGGTGCTACATGATCAAAATAGCAGTAACTGTTCGCTTTAATACCAGTTATAGATACAGTTGTACTCCAATCAATGTGTGGCTTTGTTCCCACACTTTACAATTTATAATATCTGTCACATAAATAAAAGTTCCTGACGGTGATATTTAAATCCTAAAGATCCTATGATTTTACGAAAACAAAAGAAATAATTGAAGGATTTAATTTTGCCTTTACCCTCATTTCGACTACCGACTAAAGGTTTTTAGAAAAGCGAGAAAGTTTTTCTTTCGACAGATTTTTTCAATTAAGCATCCATAATTCAGAAATTATTCTCCCGTCCCCCAATGTCTACAGTCCACCATGCCGCCAAAGGAGGATCTGGTGGTTACAATTTGAGATCTTCCTGATTGAGTGTCACCGCATCCTGACGGCGTGGATTCTTTCAACCGCTTGGTTGCCTGGCCAATATTGTATTATTCGTGATGTAGGCGTAAAAGTAGATTCAATCACAGGCTACAACAATGGCTATATCACGTACCGCGCCCTATCGTAGTGACTAGCATTCCATTACAAGCTGATATCGCCCAGTGAAGATCCCGGTTAACATTTGTCTTCAGCAACCCATGCTTGTCATATGAGGCGACTAACGGGATCATGTGATCAGACACGGTTGATGCATGTCAATCACTGGATTGTCTGGTCCAACCTCGATCATTTACAAACCGCCATTATGTTGCTTGAATGTTGCTGAGTGCGGCGTTAAACAACGAACAAAACTCAATGTTTTTTGTTATTTCTGCAGGATCACATTGATCTTGGCCCGAGTGACCGCCATCTCTCCTACCTCCCACTTGCCCACATGTTTGAAAGGGGCATGCAGGTATGCTACAGTAGCCATGGTTACCGTATCTCTCCATCCATTCATCGTTTAATATAAAAATATTTCTATATGTCGATGTGATCGACCCATTAGAAACATCTGCTGCTACAGGTTTGGGAAAGCAAGATGGCCGCCCCACGAAAACGCTAACTGTTTTTGTTTCCGATCTTGAATCCTTATTCAAAGATCATTTTCGACGGCAAAAATATACGTGTTTGTAGGTATGGGATTGAGAAAGATAGTAATAATATGGTTTGCCAATATTTATGAATTTGTAGGCCGTCTGAGATGAAGAATTGAGCTGTAAATCGTACACAGTGATAGACGTCTCTAACGGGACATCCGTAGCGGTATATAGACAATGTGATATTAATTATATTAAACGATGAACGGAGGAGATACGGTAACCGGGATTAACAAAGCACCGTGCTCACACACCATTAAACAAAAAATGATGATTCTGTAAATGTCAACCTTAAAATTGGTGTGCAGCAATTTGTCGTTGAAATAGCTGCATCCCCACTGTGGGCCAATTATTCCTCGCCCGGCCACCGACTTTTCATTGCAAACTACAAATGTATTAACGTTGTTCTGAGTATAACCATTGAGGATCGTCAGATTATTATTGAAATGAATACAAGACGGAGGCCAAGGGAGGCGATTTTAGGAACGATACCAATGTCAGCGTGCATTTTCCAATGAAGACAATATGTAGAATTAGTAGTGGTAGTAGTAGTACTAGTTGTAGTAGAGCTGTAGTGGTAGTAGTGGTAGTAATAACAAAAGTAGCAGTAGTAGTACCAGCAGCTGTGGTAGTAGTAGTAGTGGTGGTGGTGGTGGTGGTGGTGGTGGTGGTGGTTGTAGTAGTAGTAGTAGTAGTAGTAGTAATAGTAGTAGTAGTAGTAGTAGTAGTAGTGGCATCAGTAGTATTACATGTAGTACCTGTAGTAGTAATAGCAGCAGCAGTCGTAGTGGTGGTGGTACCAGAAGCAGCCGATGCAGACTGATATCTTGCGTACATAACATTCTCAAGGCATAGAGCGTTTGCTCCTCGATTCCTGGGTTTGATTCCTCACAAAACTCTATCAACTGAAGCCCTTTCTTTTAGTCTTGTTGTGATACTGCTACAATGTCTGTACCGCCATGTTCTCCATCACCCAGATACTGATGTTCACGGTGGGGGGACAGATCGGCTTCTTCCAGGGGGACATCAAGCTCCTCACCGATGACATGAAGACCCTCCAGCCGTCATTCTTCCCCACGGTGCCCCGCCTCCTCAACAGGATCTACGACAAGGTGAGATAAACATTTATACGTGTGTATAGACTGACTCTTGTGGGGTTGGATAGTCTTACAAAATGGCTTGTTCTTTTAAATACCCGGACAGAGAAAGAGCCGACTGATGAGTGAGTGAATTTGGTTTAACGCCATTTTGAACACAAAGTCAGTCATATCGCGGCTTGGTGTGGGAGGAAAGCCCGAAGGGATGCAAGTTTTACACGGTTACCACGTTGATGAACTCCGCGAGCACGGATATGGTGAAGATGGGTGGGTTCCAACGTGGAACCTGGCGTAGATCTGCGTTCATGTAGATCTGTCCTTCACGGACTTGCCTTCTCTTGGCTCGAATATCTACAAGCCGCCTTCATAAAGCTGGAGAATTCAGATTGTGGCGTCAAACAATATTTACCCATGCATCCGTCTGCAAAATGTCAAAATCAAAATCACACTCACCTGAAAAAGGCGACACTCCCGTTGGGATTCCGGGTAAAAACAGGTCCCCTAACAACCTATGCTGGCGACTTAATGGATCGGGTGTCGTGACTCGGTGAACTGGAAGATTACATGTCAATGTTCCCCTATCACTGCTCATAATACAATCACTGGTTTGTCTAGTCCATATTCAATTATTCAGGGACCGCCGTCATATAACTGAGACGTTAATCAACAGAGAAACAAAGATAACATTAAATATTGATTTAGTATATTTGGTATACCAGGTGATGAACGGCGTCCGTGGCAGCTTCATTAAGACGACGTTGTTGTCGTGGGCGATCAACAGTAAGCTGGTGGAAGTGCGAGAGTGAGTACTGTAACGCTGGTCAAGTTCATCCTTGTTCCACCATTTAAAGATGTACCGGTGACTAGGTTTGGGGTGTTTAAAGGTCTGGTTAGGACGGGTGGAGTAAGATGCCTTTACGCCGCATTTAGCAATATAGAACCCTTTCACGGCGTCCAGAAGTAGGGAATCGAACTCGGATCGGGACGGGACAACGCTTTAACCACAGACTACCCTCAATGGTTATACCACGTACCGGGCCCTATCGTAGTGACCAGCAGTCCATTACAAACTCATATCGCCCCGTGAAGATCCAAGTTAGAATAGGTCTTCAGCAACCCATGTAAGAGGCAACTATGCTTGTGGTAACAGGCGACTAACGGGGTGGTCAGGTTCGCTGATTTGGTTGATGCCTGTCATCGTATCCCAATTGCTTGGATCGATACTCATGACATCAATCACTGGATTGTCTGGTCCAGACTCGATTACAGACCGACATCGTTGGTTTTAAACCAACTTCGTACATACACTGTGGCATGTTTATTTTGTTTTTGTTTTTTTATTTATCTAGCTGTGTGATCCGAAAGAACACAGTCTGGGACCGGCTGTTATTCAAGAAGATTCAGAAAACGCTAGGGGGCAAGATCAGGCTCATCATCTCGGGGTCCGCCCCTCTCTCACCCCCGGTCTTGGACTTCCTTAGGGCATCAATGGGATGCATGGTAGGTGGGGGTTCGCTGTGGGTCGCCTCGCTTCATGCCTTCATAAGCAATGAGCCATAAGAATTTATGACAGACATGGAAAAGATTGGAATATTTTCAGACTACAACAAATTCTACGTTTAGTCTTCTGAATCCTTACAAACAATTTTGAACGTTGTGTATTTAAGGTTTAACCAAAAAAAATTCGTGAACACATAATTGGTTTGTTGGCACCATAGATCTATATTTAAGGCATATGCTGGGGACAAAACCTTTATCATGTGCACATCCACCAGGAGAAATCTTGGATTTTTGATTTTATGATACAATTTGTAATTTAGAATTATTAAGTTAATCCGATAATCCGCACTGGGCTTGTGAAATATGTCCACATGGCGCCCGCAATACCCAGTGGAAATTTGTTTCCCTTGTTCGTGCCAGGATCCGCTGATCGTGGTTCGAATCCAAGATGTGCTCACAGGTTTGACAAAAGTGGCTCACCTCCCACTTCAAGCCGATATGCGCCATACATACGAAATACTGTTCAAAGCCGCGTTTAACACAACTCACTCACTCATCCGTAGGTGCTGGAGGGGTATGGCCAGACGGAATCAACAGCTGGCATCAGCTTCAATATCCCAGGAGAAAGCTCTGCAGGTTTGCTGGACAATCTTATACACCTGTTATCACCTGTTCGTTTACCTGAAAGAATACGAGGGGAGGCCCTCCTGTCAGCAGTCATTATTGATACATAAATGCGTTGTTAAATAAATGCGTTCAAAGACCACTCGTATTTGGCGCATTCATTTTTCTCTCGCATTAATTTCAAGATTTTCAGTATTGGTCATGTGAACAATTGAACAATAACTGTTCCTCTCCTTCATCATTAGTTAAGGGGTCCGGTTTCCTAGTCTTCTTTAGCACGGCAATTCGCTTGTTGCGTCCCTTTGGCATGCCATAAACCTGTGATCGTGAGTTCGAATCCAGGTTCTCTCAGATCATGTTTCTAGGTTTGTGTCAGCATCATACCCGTGCTCATTGGCTTCATCAAAGTGGAAAATGTGTTAAGATCTGCAATATACTGCATTGCTTCGGACACGCCGTTAACCACCTCACATATTTAATTACCCATCCTTCTAATAAAGGGGGCAAGACAGTTTCATATGTTTTCATAAATATATACAAAGCGACATCCTTTTTCTGGAAACTCCTGTATACGGAGGGTAGCTGTAGTGAGAATTTGAAAAGCACATTATTCCTCAACAATGATTCAATATTCTGGGAATTTGTCAAATAAAAATTATCTCGCAAGAATTTAGATCAACAGAGCAATGTGATATTACTGTATCGCTAAAAAACAAACTTTCGAGATGTCGACATGTTTCATTGTTTATTTACATTTTTGTTGGCTAAAAGCGCAAAACTGGGTTCTCTGACCAACAGTGGGACCAGTTTAAGGTTTTGGATTTATACTGGTTTTGACCTATGTATTCTTACGCTGCAGGTCACTGTGGACCGCCTCTGGCGTGCAACTACGTCAAGCTGGTGGATGTTCCCGAAATGGACTACTTCGCCAAAGACCTCAAAGGAGAAGTATGTATTACTGAGACTCAAAACAATTCTTAATTAAAAAAGTTATAATTATTCATACCCCGTCGTCTAAGGCATCGCAATTTGCTGTTTACGGTAGGGTCAAAAACCAAAAACCTTTGATCGTGGGTTCGAATCCATGATTCCCCCTGATTGTGTTTCTTGGTGTTTCGTGTGTTTCACCAGAGTGGTGAACCGCTGTGACCTGCACCACGTCGGGCTATCCTCCAACATTAAGCTGGCACGCCGTGATATGACTGGAATACTGTTCAAAGTGACGTCAAACCCAACTCACTCACGCAGTTATTGGCTTGTCTTATGGTGACATCGGGGGCACGAATGTCCAAGTCGTCTAAGGCGCCGCGATTCGCTGTGCAGAGGTGCGTCCCTTGGGCACGCCACAAACCTATGATTGTAGGTTCGAATCCCGGTTCGCCCCAATTATGTTTCTAGGTTTGTCAGCACCATACCCGTGTTCGTGGGTTTCACCAAAGTAGTAACCGTCTGAGACCTGCATCACTTCGGGCTTTCCTCCCACATTAAGCTGACACGACGTGATATAACTGGAATAATGTTAAAAGCGGCGCCAAACCCAACTCACTCACTTATGGTGACATCGTTCCAAGAGTACATTCTGATCACACACTGGTGTCCACTGACACTGTTTTCTCTCCAGGTCTGCATCAAAGGTCCCAATGTGTTCATTGGCTACTACAAGAACCCAGAGAAGACAGCTGAAGCTATAGACAGTGATGGCTGGCTACATACCGGCGATGTCGGGGAATGGCTGCAGGTACTGCCAGGAACACTAGTTTGTAACACACAAAATTCGGACCACTGGTGGGCTCTCGGGTCATCTCGGCTTTTTCCGCTACGAACATAATACCTCGAACTCGGGCAAAAGTGGAACAGTGATAGTACATGAATTGACTTTAAACCGCGTAACGACAAATCTCGCCGCATATAATTCGTATTTTGAAGACAAGTTTCATTCTTTGTTTAACTAAAATTAGGTAAACACATTGATTTTACGCAAAAGGAGGGGGAACAAACAGAACAGTTAATAGTTTTACGACTGCCGACAGTTTTTGTCCAATTGTGTGATAGTCACGTGCACGAAACGGTTTCCAATATGGATTTCCTCAAGTGCTGCCGAGGCTTTATTTGACTGGGACGAACCGAATGACTACTGGCTAAGTTAAAAAGCAGTTTCAAAGTTCGATTGTGGGATAGAATTCTTGTGTGTTGTTTGTGTTCTTGTCTTTAAACCTGATTCATTTTCTCAGGAAGGAACTCTGCGGATCATAGACAGGAAGAAGAACATTTTTAAACTTTCCCAGGTAATTTTGTTGTTGGCATTAACGAGACGAAAATACCTTAATGCGATTTAGTTCAAATCATCCTGATAAACGGGTCAGGGGTTGCCAATAAAATTCTTTAACAAGTCTAGAGTTACTAAAAAGAGGTTACGTTTTACACGTTTGATCCTTTTTAAGATCAGTTATCAAAATATCTATTGGCGAGAAGTCAAACATGTGAAATAATACCAAGATTCATTATGCTTTTGCACGTTTGTTTATTGTTGTTTAACGCCGCACTCAGCAATATTCCAGCGATATGACGGTGGTCTGTAAATAATCAGGTCTGGACCTGACAGTCCAGTGATTGACACGAGCTGACATGACATAAGCATCAATCTACGGAACTGACGCAAGTTGACATGCGTCAACCAATTCCGCGAGACTGACCACTGGATCCCGTTAGTCGCCTATTTTGACAAGCATGGGTTGGTGGACACCAATTCTAATCCGGATTCTTCACGGGGCGGTTTTGCATGTAAAGAAACAGTCTAAATGTACCTTTTTACAGGCGATGTACACACAACGTGTTAGTATAAACGTAAATGTAGCTAAAATAATAATTGTTATTGTTGTTGTTATTATTATTATTTGTAATTGTATGTTGTTAATACCCCTGGCAGTTACAGTGTTTATTTACTGGTGTGTCCGGTTCTTCCTCCAGGGCGAGTACATTGCCAGTGAGAAGATCGAGAACGTGTACATGAGGAGCCAGTTTGTGGCGCAGTGTTTCGTGGAAGGGTACAGCACACAGGTTCGTGTACAAGGAGGTGACCAGATGGGATGTTACGATGCGTAGGGAATATACATCTTACCGTGTAATACCCGCATGCCTATGTATGGATTCAGATCTAAATCTGTATTAAATGTGTTTCGCGCAGCCGGGACTCGGTCGGTGTGACAGAATATAACGAAGGGATAAAAAAAAAAAAATTCTTGCAAGTGATATGCATGTGTTCGTATTTGTGTCTCGGTTCAACAAGACATCAATTTCATCCATTCAAGGGACGTAACTCCAGCAGTACTGCTTGTTTTGCTTTCTGTTAGTAAATTTTCAAAGGTCGGGTTGTTTGAGACTGGAGTAAACTAATATATCCGGATTCTGAACTGAGCTTCAAATAGAAACGTCCGCCTGAATACACTTTCCACTCATTATTAAGATCTTGACTTTGATGAATTTACTGTTGAACTGGTGATTGAGGGATTCGTGATTTGACGTTATAGCTTTAAAAGAGTTATTTTAGTTATATACAAACTGTATCTTAATGTCAGTGTTTTGATAGTTTAATAGGTATCGTAAAGTGCAGAGGTGGTTGGAGTTCGAACCCCAAGACGTACAATAACTTTCTTCCACTCAAATAATTACCCAGTCCCCTTGCCTCTTCAGTCCTGTGTGATGGGCGTGGTCACTCTCGAGGAAGAATACATCACCAAGTGGGCGAGTAAGCACAGCGTCAGCAAGACACCAGCTGAACTAGCTACAGACAAGGTTCGTAGAGAGACCCCATTTAAACATACAAACCCAAGATAAAATCGACCTCAACGCTCAATTAATCCAATAATGATGTGTAAATAAAGACACGTCAACGCCCGAGAATATCAAGTCTCGATTATCCACCGAAACGGATTCCATTGGGCGTGATAGGCAAAATAGCGATGAAAAATTTATGAATAGATCACTGAACATCAGTGATGACACCAGGTGTTCGCAAAAAGGTAACGTAAAGAATGAACGCATCGGAATCACGAATTTACCTTGTTTTAAGCTATATGTCGAGTTATCAGAATTCGTGTTAACGAGGTGAACTTTGCCATAACAATGCAGGTATAGATCGGGGCATCAACAACTACACCCCGTCCTATAAAAGGAATTAAACTCGGGATATACCGAACTCTGGATATACCGAACCCCCGAATATAACGAATTTCAAGTCAATTCATCTTCACAAAATTCCGCAATAACAATGACCAGAAGCGTAAGGAGATGTGGTTAATGTTGCTTGGTGAAAATGACGTTTTGGACATATCCAGTTGGTGATTTGTTTGTATGTTTGTTTGTTTGTTTGTTGTTTAACGCAGCACTCAGCAATATTCCAGCTATATGACGGCGGTCTGTAAATAATCCAGTCTGGACCAGACAATGCAGTGATTAATATCGTGAGCATCGATCCACGCAATTGGGATACGATGACATGCATCAACCAAGTCAGAGAGCCTGACCACCTGATCCCGTTAGTCGCCTATTACGACGTACATAGTCGCCTTTTACGGCAAGCATAGGTTGCTTAAGACCTATTCTAACCCGGATCTTCACGTGTGATAATCTGTTGATGATGTGTTATGTAGTGAAAATAAAATGACAGTTAAATGTCGATCATGCATACGCTAATACATCAATTACTTGAGTGTATATTTGTGTATTCCCCTGTTCTGCACCAGGACTTGAAGGCCGCTGTCCTGGCTGACATGCTGTCCGTGGGCAAGACCGGTGGTCTAAAGAGCTTTGAACAAGTGAGTCTACAGTCTTGTTTATAAACATTTATATCTGATCAATGCCTGTACACATAAGAACAAGAAACGCTTTTTCTCGAATATTTAAGTTTCTGAAAGCTTTACTTGACCTTTATATTTCATATTTTAATCGAATGCAAACTTTCCCTTTTGCTTATGAAATATTTTAACGAGTAAACGCCAAACGTGTTGAACGTATCGTTTCATTTCATTAATATCGATGTAATAATCGTTTTATTCACGAAAGAGTGAATGAGTGAGTGAATGTATTTTTACGCCCAGTTATTGATATTAAACTACACATAGACATGCGTGTAATCAAATAAGTGAGGGAAAGTAAGTCCGCTGGGGCTTCGGACAAAAGACCCGTCAAAAAGGCGTGCGTCGTCGTCAAGGTTTCACGGTCTTGTGTACACGACGTTCCAGCATCACCCCTTTATACACACGGCCGGTGTTCCGTGGAGTCGCGTGGGGGAACCTGGCGTCAACAAACACGTGAAGTACTGACAATGGTCTTCCGGGATGTGAAAAATGAACTAGGGTGTTGATAGAAATGTTATATTGCCAGGTGAAAGACATCTTTATTTTCCCTGAACTCTTCACGGTGGAGAACGGGTTCATCACCCCCAGCTTCAAGACAAAACGCCCAGCTCTGCGGAAAGCTTTCAAGAAGGAGGTAGAGGCAATGTACGCCAGGCAGTGACCATTTGCCAGCTCGGCAGAAACACATAATACTCAGTGAGGGCCCTTACTGGTCTAAAATTGGCCCTAACCAGGTATCAGAGGGAGAAATTCAAAAGATCAATACAGGCTTAACAATTCAATTCTGTAAGTTTTGAGACACTCCCCATCCTCAGAAACTAACATAATAGTGCAAATGTTGATATCCTCAAATATGTTTGTCTTGCGAATCCTACTTTTTAGAGTGAAAAATTAACGATAAGAATGGTTCATCCTCTGTAGAATTGTTCTTGTAGGACAGGAAACCCGCTATTCTACTTTTTGGATGAAATAGAATCTTAAAGAAAATAACCTTTAATTTCAGCCGAAATTCCCAGTAAATGTTGAACAAATATAGTGATGAGGTGAGTAGTTGCGTTTCCATGGAAACGTACCCAGACTATAACCATAATTATCATGCATGTTACTAAACTGATCACCCCTCTGATGTTGTATAGAGCATGGACGCTGGCACGTGCTGGTTGTACAGCGCATGGAGTCTTAAATTCTGTTAAATTAGATTGTTTAGCTTATCTAGATCTGCACAAAAAGTAAATGTTTCAATACCTTCCTCAGCCCCAGACGAATTCTGCAAATCATTATTTTCAAGCTTTTCTATCGAATTGTGCTCTCGATAACATGTGATTAACACATGACAATATGAATCATGCAATAAAGTGATAAAGTGAAGTTTGAAATATAAAATTCTCACTTTTAAACGTTCTTTGTAGTAATAATATTACATAAACTATGTTTACCTCTAACCATTAATACATACCAGTGACACTAAGCATAAGTCTTATCCAATGGCAACTGTTTATAATGACAGTATGTGGAATTAGTTCTTGGTCGCAAAATGAGTTTGTAATAATATTTTGTTAGATATTTGTGATTTTAGCAGCAGATGTTTGGTAATTTAACCGAAAAATGTTGATAATTGTATCGCAGGATTCGCCCAGGACTGCATACTATAGGTATGTATACACGGGTAGTTTGAGAAAAGTGGGTTAATATTTTGTTTGAAAAAGAAACTGAGTGAATTTTCACTTATTTCACATTTAAGCATGCTCATTGAGGCAATATTATTACACAATTTATACATGTTTCGTTATAATCGGTTTCTGTGCATGTGTGTGTGTGTGTTTTTCAGTATGTTTATCGACTGCTCTATGAGGATAACACTGTATAATGTATGTGTTGAACATAAGCGGCGGTATCAAAGTGTGCAGGTTTCATGATAACAACGCTTGTTATAATATCAGGTGTACATAAATATATTGCAAGGTAGCGGAAACTGGATTTTCATAGTCAGTTAACTCCCTTGCCTCGGGAGTACATTTGTACAATGTTTTATATATATTGATAAAAACCATGTCCAAATTTGTATAATTCTCTGTGTACAATATGCAATAAAACAAGCTCTCTACGGAAAATCGTGTCCTTGTGTTTTTACCCCATTGCGACAGAGGACCGGGATTAAATGGGGATTGAGTGTCTCCAATATGTTACCAAGGCTACTGGTATGGCATGGCGTTCGCTCATTCCATCAACCACTGTATTCCTATATGACGTCGGCCTGTAAATAATCAGGTCTGAAACAGACAATTGGTTGATAGCATTGATAATACCACACGTCGTCGGGGCAGGATGATGTACACTTGGCCACGTCACAGAGACTGATCACTTCTCTCTATCCCATTTCAGTGTGTTTGTTTGTTTGTTTGTTGTTTAACGCCGCACTCAGCAATATTCCAGCTATATGCCGGCGGTCTGTTGATACTCGAGTCTGGACCAGACAATCCAGTGATAAACATCATGAGCATCGATCCACGCTTTAAGGATACGATGACATGCATCAACCAAGTCAGCGAGCCTGACCACCCGAACAAGCATACATGTAGTCGGCTTTTACGGTAAGCATGGGTTGCTGAAGACCTATTCTACCCCGTATCTTCACGGGGCGATGTCAGCTTGTAACAGAATGCTAGTCACTACGATAGGACCCGGTACGTGGTACAGCCATTGGGGTAGCCTGTGGTTAAAACGTTGTCCCGTCACGATCCGAGTTCGAGTCCCTACATCGGAAACAATGCGTGAATCCCACTTCTGGACGACGTGAAAGGGTTGAATATTGCTAAATGGGTTACTGGAGGCCTTCTCACCCGGAATTTCACGGGTGTCCCATTCCAGTCCGATCTTACGACAAATGTAAGTTGATCTTTTTTATACGCAATCCCCAACGCGACGGGTTTGTCTGATCCAATGATGGTCCAGACCGTGATGGAGACGTAATGGTACCGACAACCAGAAGACAACATTTAGTCATCTTGTGAGGGTTGCATACAAAAACATTTCTCGGGCACGTTTTTTTCTCAACAGTGGGGAAGGAGATAGATATTATTTAATGAAAACAAAAGTTATGAATGAGGATTTTTTTATTTGTTTTACACCAATTATTCCAAGACACACAACTGGGCACACATTGAACCCGTCCCTTAAATGCAATGACAGTTGTCATGCATGGATAACAGCGTTTGCTTCATATGACGCGGGACATTTGTATTGATTTTATTGTCAATAAGAATGACAAGCAAGATATAGAATGAGGCGCCGATGCCCGACAAACAACTTCCTGCTTTAGCCTTATCACAATTACGTACCTAAAGACCACAGATTTATGTGGCAAAAAGAGTGGAATGTTGGAACTAAAAGTCCAGGAAACAGGAGACACGGGTGGCACAATTGTCAAAGTGCTGTTGTGTTTGTTTGACTTCAAGAATCGTCTCGATTATGACAGTACCATTCCCGTTCTATTAGGAAGAAGAAGAAGAAGAAGAAAATTATTTTATTTTCGTGTCACACACTGTACAGCAGTGACAATAAAAATACACAAATAGTGTGTACAGTGTCCGGCCATTATGGCCTACGAGACACGCAGGACATCACTTACATATATGAGTAACATATTAGGTAACCAAGGCGGAGAACGTCAATGAACTGAGTGGGTGTGTAAATTTAGTTAAGCGATACAATTAAGATCTTTTCCAAAGTGGCGTTGCCCCAACATCTCCACACCTATGGTTATGGGTTCGACACCCTGTTCGCCCGATTGTTTCTAGGTTTGTCAGCATCATACCCGTGCTTGTGGGTTCACAACAGTGGTAAACGTCTGAGATCTTCATTACTCCAGTCTTTCCACCCACAATAAGCTGACACGCCGTGATAAAATACAATTGTACATGTCTATTCCAAAATTGAAACAATATGTTAACCCAGAAATCTGTACGTACAAGAACTTAGTGTGAAACAAACAACCAACAAGTGGTATACAATCAACAATTGTATGACAAAATTCACTACAATTCAATACAAATTATTGCGCAGCAATTACAATGGCAGTAAACAATAGAGCGGTAGTACACTATTCCATGGCAATAATAATATGATGACAGTGGTCAGTATGAAATAGTGACAGAAAAAGTCAGTATACCCAGCGGCGACAGTGATAGGTTAGGCAGGGAATCAGTGATGATGAGCGTTTCTCACATGAAATCTGGTTCGGATGTGATGAAAATGCGTGAGAGACGAAACGTGTGAGAGATACCTAAACACGCCCTTATATACACGTCCCACTATACATGTATATACACTCAGCCAATTAAGCAACTTGAAATTTCTATACTGTGCCCTCACCACATAGAGCATTACATAAATTTCCATTACATACTATCACCGCCCGCGGTATACCGTACCGGGAGTTTATACACCACACTGGTATCTAAAGATAGTAGCTTCGTGACGACTGATCACTGTCCAAACACAATGCAATGAGCGTCTGTCGCATCTCAACAGAAACAATGTAGCACAGTTACAATCATTGTTAAACAATAAAACATACTGCCATAAACAATAATCACGACCAGTAGAAATTTAGGTGGGTAACAAAACATCACTTTATATACAACATGATGTTATCAAGTTTATAGTCGGAGAGAAACAACAATGAAATGTGTTCGTTACGTCAAAAATCCAAGACGTTTCAATATGCCTTAAATTTTGTTGATCATATATATGCCATAAAGCACTGACTATAAATTGTGGCTTGGTAACCAATTTCTTTCGTAAACCCTCTTGGGGCGTTAAACAACAAACACACAATCCCAGCACGTTGTGTCTCATATATAACAGGCAGTTTTGTGAACAAGTGAGTGACTTTTTAAACCACAACTTTTAATGATATGGTAAAAGACCGTAGTTATCATGATGTGCAGAGTTAGGCACGACATCATCCTATATTATCCTTGATTTGTAGCCGGTTCCTAGGGAAAAGTCAACAATGTCACTCTGTTCCACATTAATATTACATAACGTGATATATCTACTTTTCAAAGTGAGGTTATATTTTCAGGGAGATAGTGTGTTTAAGTGAGTGAGGGAGTTGGGTTTAACGCCGATTTAAACAGTATGTTAGTTACATCGCCGTGTATCAGCTCAAAGTGGGGGGAAAGCCGAAAGTGATGCAGGTCCCTGACGTTTACCACTTTGATGAAACCCACGAGCACGGATAGGATGCTGACAAACCTTAAACAACTGGGCCACTCGTGCTTGGCAACAGACAACGGGACTTCATTTACATAAATCTGCATACACAACACCTTTATTGTTAAATAATCATGACATATGTCGGAACGCTCAGATAGAGTTTTGCTTATACAGACATATGATACTAATTGAGATGCAATTCTAGGAGAGCTGGGAAGAACATCATTGTGTGTACACTATTACAGTGGTTGTATTACGTACCGGTGTCGACTACTTGGATTACATGAAACAAGATATCCGTATGCCTGTTACCATGTGTGAAAAGCGTTTGACGAAAATGGTCAAACTAACTGGGTTTCTTACATAAGACAGTTATTGTTTCAAACTGGGTTTTCATATGTGTGGTTGTCTCAGGATTGCGGCGATGGGAAATGATTCATGGTTATATGCAAACAACGATGTAAAGATATAGAATTCCAAAACTGGCATTACAAAATCACACATTCTTCTTCCCTTGATGTTTATTCATCTTATAAATCATTACTCGAACCAGAAAAATAACTGTTCACTTTAGCATGAGAAAGAGATGTTCTTAGAGCTTTATGTAAATTCCGTTGTTTAAGCCATAATCTAAATGTACTGAAAACTCGATTTAATACAACCAACGTGTCATCGTTTCGTTTATGTATGAAATGTAACCGTCATGAAATTATGAATAAGTATATAATACGATATACTAGACATTTATATAATATATACATTTTGCATTAGGTTGATATGCTTGAAAAGAAGCCAAAACAATTTTAAACTTTCGCCCTACAAAGAAAGCATTCGTTTGTAATACGTTTAAAAAAGGTTTAAGATAAAATGTTTACAAACATGTTAATCTTATAAATTGAATTCTGACTAGTCGATGTCATTAAGATTGACAAAAAATAAGTGAAACAGTTTTTGCAATGGTTAAGAATTCATAATTTAAATCAGAATAACAAGAGTCATCAGAAGTTGACAAATCGTCTCCACAATGGCAAAAGGCGCCACTTCACACTATGGAGAATATGTAGGAATGAATATTATCCTACCCTATTTTTTATCCCGGGGATGAAGTTCTCTAGTGTCAGGATGATTCTCCCTAGTGAATTTGAACCCATACCAATGTGTTTAATCCTATCAACATACATTTATGTTTACAGCTCATTTCTTTCCAAACAGACATGTTGACATTTTTGCCTCAAAGCTCTCTTCTGCTTAAAGTTAAACATGTCTGGATATATTTTGTCTTTTAAGTAATTGAATACTTTGGAATACTCTGTTCCATCCATCCAACTGACAATGTCAATGTCAAACCTCAAAGTCATGAAGTCATGTGATCAGCTGACAGCATGAATATCATGACAGCATGCAATGCATGTGCAAAGGAAGTCTGTCATGGGATAATATACACTGATTCAAGTTAGTGTAAATTTTCCCAGGATACATTTAATTTCCAATTTCCACTTAGTTATGTTTCACTGGGATGAATTACCCTTAATGTTTGGACATAACCTATCCCAGATTTACCACACTAAGGTAGGATACTATGCACTGGACTAAAACGTCCCCCGGGATAATATTTGGGTAGGATATAATCCTTGCTTACAAATACATGTACCAAGTTTGGATGAAAAATCTTTCACGTTATGCTTCGGAAATGAAATACAGGCGGGCAGACAGACTAGATGATGACTATATCCCCCGCATTATATGCCTTGGTGTGGGGGATAAACAGGACATGATAATAAAAATGGTTTCTCATTGTCAACGGTTTACACCTAATATGTCTTGTTTGAATGGGCAACGATCCACGCCATCACGGTGAAATACAATCAGCTTTGACACGAGTGAAGCAATACTTAAACTTCAAGTAATCGCCAAAAAGACGCGGATGTTAATGTCATGGGCAACGATCCACAACGTCGGGCACAACGACACGCTATGAACCAGGTCACACATTGTGACATAGTGTGACATAACCAATTGGATTTTGAAAAGCAATCCATTTTAATATGTCTGCTTCAATGTATTTTGATTACCACGTAAACCATGGACAGATAAAACATCTTCCCCCTGTCAATATCACAAATATGTATGAAAGTACAAATGAACATGTTAAGACATATTTCCGGCTGTAAGACAAATCATTATATAAGCACGTGGAGACCATGCATACCGTGCAAAGTCTATGCAACTTGAGTTGTGGACACAACAATGCTTTCTTTGACGTACACAACAGAAGGGGCAAAGTTCAGCTGAAGTCAAAAGCTCCGAAATTCGCTGGTTCGTAAAATCTCGAGCTTGTGTCACGGGCGAATAGTCTCGCCAGAAGTGGTCGCACAATCCCAGCTCTAGCCTCGGACACGGAAAGTCAACACTGAATTAGGATTCAGCTGTGAGAGGTAAGTTAGCAATGTTGTAAAATACTGTGGATGTAAGCGACCCACAGACGACAGGCTATTAGCGTAGCAAGTATGCATTCATGGTGACAAGCCAGGATACTCATTATATCCCTTATTTTCGGTAATAGGTAACGTGATTGAGTGTCACTGGGTTAAAGGTAACAGGCTATCACAACTGTCTTACTTTTTCGTAACGTTTTAGATCCCTCGGCTATAGATATTATCAGTTGTACTTTTAGACATTGACAGTCTAACGTTAGACTAAGTGTCACCGCTTGCACCTCGCACAGGCACGTGAATACATTTTGAATCGTGAGAAGGCATGAATATTGCATGCAATATTCAAGTGCGTTGTGGTTTTTCAGCCATTCAATCTATTCATAGAACTGAAACCGGACATGTATATATTCACCTTTCAGTAGACAGTCATTAAACTATAATCGAGTATTACCGCCCTCCCCGTTTTAATATCAACACATTACCATAAGGTGTGATGTCCTTTTCTGCATTCCTACTAAATATCCTGAATCTTTAAGTAAAGCATTAATGATTGTCAGTGACAACGCCAAGACCAGTCACGTGATATATAGCTTGTCATATGTATGTTATGTAATCTGTGAAGTCACGCATGAACGACTTACATTAATGCTTATACTGTGATTTGACTCCTGTTTATTTGTCCACAATACTATACCTAAGAATATCGTTATGCGCCAGCGTCACAGGAATCTAGTTTGAACATGCTCATGATAATTATTCGCAATTTCAATGACATGTTGAACACATGCGTTTAAATATCCATGTTCCCAAATGACCTACATCAGATCACGTGAATCCACAACTTGCGTACCGGCGTTTGCAAGCTGACTGACAACCGCGCCGTGTTGACCCTGTTTTCTATATATATGCGCAGCACGCCAAGACGCGTGGCGGTGTCCAGTGCGACGCAGGACTGTCTGACAGTCCCTATGTACAAAGTTCGGTGTACATAGTCCTTGCGTTAATTGACCCGGGTTTTCACTACCTCATTAGATAAAACAACTTCCTATATAGTGACAACGTATACGGCCTATATATTGATATGTAGCTGGCGAGACCCTTTGATAACAGTGCGTATGGTGTCTGCTTTGTGATTTTCTTATCTAAACTATGTATGCCCCTGGGATAACGAAGGTTAGCATCCATGATGAGTTTATAACTATTTCTAACCGTGTAGTTTTGCAATACCACTGAGTGTTGTTCGAATACTATAAACCGACAAGAGAGTTATTCCGGGATCAGTGTAAAAAACTGATAGTCTAAGCTGGGATCTTACATGTCTTAATGCAGTACATTAAGTTTGTTTTGTTTGTTTGGTTGGTTGGTTGTTATTTAACGCCGCACTCAGCAATATTCCAGCTGTATGACGGCGGTCTGTAAGTAATTGAGTCTGGACCAGACAATCCAGTGATTGACTACATGGGCATCGATCCACGCAATTTGGATCGATGACATGCATCAACCAAGTCAGCGAGCCTGACCACCCGATCCCGTTAGTCGCCTCTTACGACAAGCATAATCGCCTTTTACGGCTAGCATGGGTTGCTTATTCTATCCCGGATCTTCACGGGTCCAGTACATTAAGACTGTTCACTGCCACAGCAAAGAATATATTTCTCGTCACCTCCCAAACACGACTGATTTCAAATTTACTGATATTCTTGGTGAACGAATCGCTTTTAATTTTTATGATCATACATAATTGATTATGATATAAACATATGTATGGTATCCGCGAAAGTTTTAATCTATGATTTCATTACCACAAATACTTGATTATTGTATAAATATATTATTTTTAATGACCGTTTGGAATGGAGCTCATGACTTGTGTAACTTCCGAACTGTCCTTTCACAGCAGGTTGAAACGCCGTCATGTAAGTGGAATACTGTTTAAAGCGGCGTGAACTCAAACTCACTCACACCCTGACTAAGAGACTCCCAAATCTCCGTGACATATACCATTCCTGGGACTGGAGCAGGATTCAGGTCTGGGTACACTGCAGTTGATAGCTTATTTGTTCTGCAAAGCCTTTTACTGTTTATTTGCAGATTTCAGGGGGGAAATGACAAGAAAGATGAACCACATTACCCTATTTTATATAATGGTGTCAGACAGGGTTGAATACTAAGCTCTATCTTTTGTCCTCCTTTTATTGTAAAATTAGAAACTTTTTACAGGTCTATCATGGGATAAAAATATTGTAGGTACATTTATGGATATACTTTTATTACTTCGTTTGGTTATACGTTAATTCGTATTGGTTTCGAAAACACTTTCCTTTCCTCCTACTTGAAACTGTATGAAGCGGCGTTAAACCCAAGTCACCCACCAAGCATGAGTTGAACTTGTGTGACACGAACAGACACGACCCGCTGATGTGATCGTGTGACCATGGATATGTAGAGCACAGTTATCTCCCCTGCTTAGTGAACTCGCATTACATTACATCTACACTTATCCCTTATCAACTGTTCCCTACTATATTAATAAGCCGGCGTAAACTAGCTGCAGTAACTACACCATGATCAGCTAAAGGTAAGACGTGCATGTATAACACTGTATTAACCGCTTGAGAAAGTGTTTGGTATTAAATTACAAGCAACTGTATGGATACAGGTCGCCCATGTATGTAACGTTCAGGTGTCGGGTCCAAACTCGATAACTTGCAGACCGCCGTCATAAAGCTTGAATTATTTGAGTGACGCATTACACAAACATGTAAGTACTAGATTGTTGATTATAAAACTTATACTGAAGCAGTTTAATAATTCGCGATGGGGAGGTGAATACCTTTTCATCGGGAGTTAGCGTGGTTTTACGCCGCTTTCAGCAATATCACGGCAGATGGCACCAGAAATGAGCACACATTGAACCCGACTCTTTTTGTGGCGAGCGAACGCTTGAACCACTTGGCTTCCCCACCGCCCCTCTGTGCGGTAGCCTTATGGTTAAAGTGTACGCTCGTCCTGACGTAGATCTCGCTCCGATTTTCCGCTTTGGTATATTTCGCCATATTAAAGATTTACGAAGTGGTATTGTACTCTAAATTGACCATGTCTGACAAGTATTTAACCTTATTTAATAACTGTTTTATAATAAATATGGTCATGATATTGCAACTTATATAAAGCAAGACTCCATACAATTGACGAGATCAAAACCCTACCCCTACTCCCACCCCTCACCCCCACTCCCACCCCTCACCCCCATGATGCTATTACTCTGGTCATGGGTTCGATGTCTCCGTGTAATCAAGTGTCACTCACAATTGTCTAACTGTCTACCTGTCTACCTGTCTACCTGTCTACCTGTGTGGTGTCCTAAATGTGACAACTTACCGCTCTACTTGGCTACTCAGCAGGAGAAGTCTGCAAGGCATATGGACTAAGTATTTTTATCGGCTCAGGCCAACAACTACACTATACCCGTGAAATCGCATAGGCTATTCTATTTTAGACGCCATTTATAGCCAGTGACCAGTGAACCGTACGAGTATCAATACTAGTAGACAATACTGATAATAACAGCACATTTCATAATAATAATAACAACAATAACAATAATAATAATAAATGGTTTAATTATATTTTTTACATTTATACCTGCCTATTTTATTTTTTGCGCGGGGGTTGGGGGTATTTTGCCTTGAGTTTATGGGCAATTCCTTTCGTTCACATGTATAGGTAATACTCCATTAGCAACTAGCTTAAGTCAATATTACATTAACAGGTATTTTCTACAAATATCAATGGTGCAGTTCCTTGGCTAATGACTATATGTTGATGTTGCTTACAGGTGGGGAGATAGGTTGTTAGAATTGTGTGGAATTGTTATTGCATTTTGATAGCTGAGTGAGATCCACTTACACTTGTGACCTTCCCTTCTCGCACAAACGCTGCAATTCACTGTGCAGAGTCCCAAGGCGTCCCAGAAATCTATGATCGTGGGTTCGAATAACAGATCCGCCTGATGGCTGCTGGGTTTGTCAGCTCCAGGGTGTTTAAGCATCTTAATAATATAGACTGACAAAAGACGAAGTACTTTGTTGATCGTGTTAGTGGAGTTGCGTCCTTGAGCTCTCAGGGTCCGCTCATCGTGAGTTCGAATCCCATTTCTGCTCTAACCTTTTGACTGTCCCATTGACTGTCCCTGTCTCTGCATGTCGTTAGAGCTGAAATTTGGATAGCGTGAAAACTGTATGACGTAGTTGATTTGTCGAAGTATACGGTTCGTCTGTAGTTCGATCGCAGAGAAACTGTAAGAATTTCCCTGTGCCAAACTATTACTCTTTTCCAAAACTTATAAAAAAATACCCTGGCATGTTTCTAAGTTGTGCGTGGTAAACGTTTGAGAGCCTCATTCGCATGGAGACTTCAGCTCATGTATTTTTGCATTTGGAATAAAAATACTTATTTGAGAAAATGTATATTTAGTTTCTGTTCACATCAAGCATGCGATCAGAGAGGGGCATGGGTGTAATCTGACATTTGCATACAGGATACTCCTGTTACGTTTCGGGGTTCGTCAGCATCATACCCGTGCTCGTGGGTTTCACCAAGCTGGTGAATGTCTATGATTGAGTCACTTCCTCCAAAATCAAGTTGACACGCCGTGATATGACTGGAATGCTGTTCAAAAGAAGATAAGGAAAAGGTCTTCAGCAACCCTTATGCCGTAAAACGGCGACTATGCTTGTCGTGAGAGGCGACTGACAGGATCGGGTGGTCAGGCTCGCTGACTTGTTTGATGCATGCCATCGTATCCCATTTGCGTAGATCGATGCTCATGATGTCAGTCACTGGATTGTCTGGTCCATACTCGATTATTTATAGACCGCTGTCTGTAGGTGGAATATTGCTGAGTGTTAAACAACAATCAAACAAAATATATATACTCGTGCATGACCTTTTGGAATAGCCTTTTGGCCTGTGTTACTTCGGGCTTCCTCCCACATCAAGGTGACACGCTATAAAATGAAATACTTTTCAAAGCGGCGTTAAAACAAACTCACTCACTTACCAATGGCCGGTTTGACTTCACGTCTGGCTTTGACATTTCTTACTTTTCTCACTTCAAGTACATATGGAGCTGTGTCTTCGCACCTATGTCACGGAAGCATGCTCACAGACATCTCATAACTTAAATATTGCTATGGCTACACATTAAGTTACATATAACACATGCTACACAAAATGAACCACCCGAGTCGTTCATATATCCATAGTCATGGCATTAGGATGCGATGACATGCATCAACCAAGTCAGTGAACACCCGATCCCGTTCGTCGCCTCTTACTTATAGTAATATGAAATGATCGGGTGGTCCTTAATGAGAGATTACTGGAGTAATATGAAACAATCGGGTGGTCCTTAATGAGAGATTACTGGAATAATATGAAATAATCGGGTGGTCCTTAATGACAGATTACTGGAGTAATATGAAATAATCGGGTGGACCTTAATGACAGATTACTAGAGTAATATGAAACAATCGGGTGGTCCTTAATGACAGATTACTGGAGTAATATGAAATAATCGGGTGGTCCTTAATGACAGATTACTGGAGTAATATGAAATAATCGGGTGGTCCTTAATGGCAGATTACTGGAATAATATGAAATAATCGGGTGGTCCTTAATGACAGATTACTGGAGTAATATGAAACAATCGGGTGGTCCTTAATGACAGATTACTGGAGTAATATGAAACAATCGGGTGGTCCTTAATGACAAGATTACTGGAGTAATATGAAATAATCGGGTGGTCCTTAATGACAAGATTACTGGAGTAATATGAAATAATCGGGTGGTCCTTAATGAAAAGATTACTGGAATAATATGAAATAATCGGGTGGTCCTTAATGACAGATTACTGGAGTATTATGAAATAATCGGGTGGTCATTAATGACAGATTACTGGAGTAATATGAAACAATCGGGTGGTCCTTAATGACAGATTACTGGAGTAATATGAAATGATCGGGTGGTCCTTAATGACAGATTACTGGAGTAATATGAAACAATCGGGTGGTCCTTAATGACAGATTACTGGAATAATATGAAATAATCGGGTGGTCCTTAATGACAGATTACTGGAATAATATGAAATGATCGGGTGGTCCTTAATGACAAGATTACTGGAGTAATATGAAATAATCGGGTGGTCCTTAATGACAAGATTACTCGAGTAATATGAAATAATCGGGTGGTCCTTAATGACAGATTACTGGAGTAATATGAAATAATCGGGTGGTCCTTAATGACAGATTACTGGAGTAATATGAAATAATCGGGTGGTCCTTAACGGGGGTTTTCGTAGTATGTTTGACTATTGCTGAGCTATATATGAATACTTACTGTGGGTATGCCATTTGGCAATTAATGTAATTGTCAACATACTGATGAAATATATTTTGGCATTTGCAGTAAGTTAACTGACAAAACAGTCAACCGCCATGTTTGTGCCCGCGCGTTGCCAAGCAGTATATCCAGCTACACACGTCCTGCATAAATCATTTATATATACATGGATTTCTTATATTTAAAGTTAGGAATGTGATGTATTAGCATGAGGTAGTTGATATGTATCTATGTTACAATATGTTCCCAACGAACATACGAGGATATACATGTGTGTACAGACATTCAAACTTCAAAAAATGAAATTAATATCATATGTAGTTCAGGGTTACTGGTGATATAAATTCGTGATATGTTAAGTGAGTTACAGTTCTCTTCGCAGTACGTCATCCATAGTGTGACTGATATTTTATAACGTACATTTATTATCATATGACTAACACACGTGTGCTTCATTTCTAAGGCCAAAAAGCCCCATGTGTGTTGCTATTTAGCTTATCTAAACATAGGGTTGGTAAGTAGGGTTTTAATTTTTTTTTTTTTTTTTTTTTAAATTAGAATGTTTTTATCTATAGTTTTATCTACAGTGACATATTACGCCTGTGGCATAAAATACGGGCAAAGCGAGACTGTTTTGGGTCTAGGTTAGGATCGGTCGAAACTAGAGACAAATATAGTTTTGAAATGGCCCAAAACAGAATGCAACCTGACTGATAGAACAACCGCACTATACAGAGTGTTAGAGCTGGCCTGGATTTTAGATGTGAAACACCAGAGCACCGGTAAGATCGTTTAGACGAGGTGGTCGCATATCGTCGTATATTACCTGATCATATTACGTAAGTTTTTTAAACATGTGTTGCAAACGAGTGGCGATTTATTTCTTTTACATGTAACTTGTTCATTATCGAAATGCCGGAGTATATTTGATGACAGAGTTCGAAACGTCAGCGTTCGACTGGGTGGGTTTTATTATGTTCGCCTTGTGTTTGGGGACACTAATGGGCTCGTTTAGCAACAGATGTTTTTTCTTCAATTAAATCATGTTCATTAATGGATCGTGTTGATGCGTAACTGCCCTAGCATCAGCTATCTATTGTATGCATTGACACAGGAGGCAGCTATATAGGTGCTGTATCTGAATGGATGCACACTGCAAGGAATACTCAACCGTAGACATACGCATTGATGTCGTCAACTCTAATATAGAGGAATAGTGACAACGATTTCTGAGTAAGTTGCGAAACCATATATATTTAAAATCAGACGATACTGAGATGTTGTTCTAATTTAGCACATTGCTAGTTTTAAAAGCACGGCGCCCTTTTTAATCCTTGAAGATTTTGAATGTATTGGTGTAATAATTCTAAGATGGATTGATATGATTTTAATTTATTTTCAAATTAAAGTTTAGTCAACTTTAATCGCCGAGCAATTATCGTGTTCTTTACACAAGTTAGTTGGGCCTATGTATCATTTTTGTGTATTGTTTGTTTCAAATGGCTCTTTTCCCCCGAGGGGCGGTGGGGTAGTCTAGTGGTAAAAGCGTTCGCTCGTCACGCCGAAGACCCGGGTTGAATTCCCCACATGGGTACAACGTTCTGGTTCTGGTGTCCTCCGCCATAATATTGCTTGAATATTGCTAAAAGCGTCGTGAAACCATACTCACTCACTCACTCACTCACTCACTCTTTTTGCCCGAGCGTTTATTCAAGCTATGTATTTATTCAAGGACTATATTTGAATTATCAGAGGTAGTGTACAAACACGACGATGAGCTACTCACACAACTGACGTCGGTCTGACACGAGAAGGGTAGACTTGCTCAAAGGCACATGATGAGATTTTCATTTTTCATTTGGCCTATGTTTCTTTCGTATTTTGTATATTTCGTGTATTTCTCGTCTACACATTAAACATATTTTATAGTTTTACGATAATTGTAAATTGGAACTAAAACTTTCAAAATAGACAAATATGTTTGGCAATTTTGAAATTATTACTAAGATCTATGAGAATATTTCACAACATGTCCCTGCTGTAAGTGATATCTTTCACATACTTAAATAACAACCATGCTTTAATCATATAGTGGCGCAGATATCGTGCAGAGTTGTTTAACGCCGCAGCAGTATTCCAGCTATATGACAGCGGTCTTTAAATAATCGAGTCTTGACCAGACAATCCAGTGATTGACATCATGAGATCGATCTACGCTATTGGGACACGATGATAAGTCAGCGAGCTTGACCACCCGACCCTGTTATTCGCCTCTTACGACAAGCATAGTCGCCTCTTACAGCAAGCATGGGCTGCTGAAGACCTATTTTCTACCCGTATCTTCACGGGTTCATTTCACTAGTATTCCTATTCCTATTAAAAAAACGCTAGTGATATATATTTGTGTGGGATTTGGCAAAATGATAAAAAATATCAGAATACAATCATGTAAATACTTATGTCTTGTGAGTGAGTTGGATTTTACGCCGCTTTTAGCAATATCACGACGACGGACACCATGAATTGGCTTCGCACTTTGTACGCGGGCCTTCGGTGTGACAAACGAACGCTCAAACCACAAGGCAACCCCACCGCCTGTAAAGTCTTGGGAAATTCGGAAAGTCGGTAAAATGTAAATCATTCTAGGTTGTGAACACTGGTAATATCATATTGAAAAAAAATGGTATGGGATTTTGCTAAATTTTAATTAGAAGATAAAATAGTGTACATGTGCCACAACCTATTATGCACAAAATATATTAGAAATACAAAAATCGATATATATGATTCCAGGCTCTTTCATGGCACACAATAAAGTTTGAACATTATACATACAACCATATTTGTCAGTACCTTCTTATTTCGCAACAGCTTGTACATATATCCTATCCTAGATTTCCAATTCGCGTACCGTCAATTTGCCGTTGTACTCAATGCATGGGTAACTAAAATCAGCAGTACTATGACACACATACGGGTACATTTCAAGATTAATGTCTTTAAAAAGATTAATAGACAGTGTAGAAAACCGACATCAAAGAAAATACTTCTGATTCATATTGAAAACATCTCATTCAAATTCCGTCTTAGTTGTCGCTACCGCTACACAGGGACCCGTGAAGACCCGGGGTAGAATAGGTCTTCAGCAACCCATCCTTGCTGTAAAAGGCGACTATGCTTGTCGTAAAAGGCGACTAACGGGATCGGGTGGTCAGGCTCGCTGACTTGGTTAATGCATGTCATTGATCCCAATTGCGTGGACCGATGCTCATGATATTAATCACTAGATTGTTTGGTCCAGACTCGATTATTTACTTTGGTGAAACCCCCTAGCACTGGTATGGTGCTGACAAACCTACGAACCCACGATCATAGATTTCTGGCACACCTAAGGAGCGTAACTCTGTACTGTGAATTGCGGCGCCTGATTTGACTGCAGCCTTTCATATGCCATAGACCCGTGATGGTCGGGCTTAGAAGAGGTCTTCAGCAACCCATGCTTAGGCGACTATTATATACTTGTCGTAAGTGACGACTAACGGGATCGGGTGGTCAGGCTCGCTGACTTGGATGATTGGTTGATTCATGTCATCGTATGCCAGTAGCGTAGATCGATGCTCATGATATCAATCACCTGATTGTCTGGTCCAGCCGTGATTATTTACAGACCGCCGTCCTATAGCTGGAATATTGCCGAGTGTGGCGTTAAACAACAAACAAACAAATAAAGCCGAATTTGCATACACAACAAACACATCACTTTTTACTTAATTCGTTCATATTATACCCACCTATGGCTAGGCTCTCTCAAACTCTTACCATTTGTCTGCTACATATTTGTTTCTGTTTCAGATTCGGTCTGAATCTACAGCCAAGCAGTAAACATGGACGCGGTTAGAGATCTGCTGGTGACCCGAGTGGGGCAAGTCGGAGCTGGGGCTCTCGCTGTGGCGGGCACGGTAGCAGCCTCATATCTTCTGACTGGAGGACCGAGGCCTATCTCCCCTGTCGTCGACCCCCAAAACCAGACCATAGACCTAGGTGTACGTGTTTATTTGCCTACCCCCACGACCTGACCATAGATATAGGGGTTCGTGTTTATTTGTCTACCTTACAACCAGACCATAGACCTAGGTGTACGTGTTTATTTGTCTACCCCCACGACCTGACCATAGATATAGGGGTTCGTGTTTATTTGTCTACCTTACAACCAGACCATAGACTTAGGTGTACGTGTTTATTTGTCTACCCCCACAACCTGACCATAGATATAGGGGTTCGTGTTTATTTGTCTACCTTTCGAACAAACCATAGATCTAGGGGTACGTGTTTATTTGTCTACCTGCATAAACAGACTGTAGATCTAGGGTAGGTGTTCATTTGTCTACCTGCACAACCAGACTGTAGATCTAGGGTAGGTGTTCATTTGTCTACCTGCACAACCAGACTGTAGATCTAGGGTAGGTGCTCATTTGTCTACCTGCACAACCAGACTGTAGATCTAGGGTAGGTGTTCATTTGTCTACCTGCAAAACCAGACTGTAGATCTAGGGTAGGTGTTCATTTGTCTACCTGCACAACCAGACTGTAGATCTAGGGTAGGTGTTCATTTGTCTACCTGCACAACCAGACTGTAGATCTAGGGTAGGTGTTCATTTGTCTACCTGCACAACCAGACTGTAGATCTAGGGTAGGTGCTCATTTGTCTACCTGCACAACCAGACTGTAGATCTAGGGTAGGTGTTCATTTGTCTACCTGCACAACCAGACTGTAGATCTAGGGTAGGTGTTCATTTGTCTACCTGTACAACCAGACTGTAGATCTAGGGTAGGTGTTCATTTGTTTACCTGCACAACCAGACTGTAGATCTAGGGTAGGTGTTAATTTGTCTACCTGCACAACCAGACTGTAGATCTAGGGTAGGTGCTCATTTGTCTACTCTCACAACCAAACTGTAGATCTGGGGTAGGTGTTCATTTGTCTACCTGCACAACCAGACTGTAGATCTAGGGTAGGTGTTCATTTGTCTACCTGCACAACCAGACTGTAGATCTAGGGTAGGTGTTCATTTGTCTACCTGCACAACCAGACTGTAGATCTAGGGTAGGTGTTCATTTGTCTACCTGCACAACCAGACTGTAGATCTAGGGTAGGTGCTCATTTGTCTACCTGCACAACCAGACTGTAGATCTAGGGTAGGTGTTCATTTGTCTACCTGCACAACCAGACTGTAGATCTAGGGTAGGTGTTCATTTGTCTACCTGCACAACCAGACTGTAGATCTAGGGTAGGTGTTCATTTGTCTACCTGCACAACCAGACTGTAGATCTAGGGTAGGTGTTCATTTGTCTACTCTCACAACCAAACTGTAGATCTGGGGGTAGGTAGTCGCTTGTAAGATTTGATCCCGATGGTATTCAGCGCAATTGTAAATTTTCATTTCGAATCTCTTATACAGGGCGGGGTGCGAGGGTCTTCCCTGATGAAAGACTTCAAAGAGAAAAAGCCAGTCGAACGTCTTTCTGACGAAGCTGACACACTACACAAGATCTTCCTTTGTGGTCTCAAGACGTCACGTGAGTTGGACCAGTCATCTTAGGCTCAAAATTCGCTTTGAAGGGTTGCGTCCCTTAGACATGGCCGGATCCTTTGATCGTGGATCCGAATCAAAGTTTGCCAGGTTATGAACCTTTGTTTCCATTGTTTCATTAAAATGCGACCCGTGAAGATCCGACCTAAGCAACCCGTGCTTGCCGTAAGAGGCGACTAACAGGATGGTCAGGCTCGCTGATTTGGTTGATCGTATCCCAATTGCGCAGATCGATGCTCATGATGTCAATCACTGGATTATCTTGTCCCGATTCGATTATTTACAGACCGCTATCATATGGCAGGAATATTGCCGAGTGCGCTGAACAACAAACAACCCAACAAACTATTCAACGGCTCTGATCCCTCTATCAATGTGTAATGTGGGAATACTGTGAGCCAAGGGTCATAACTGTTCACGCACGTAGCCTCAGTTTCAGTCCGTAACTAACTTATCTATATAGAAACGCATCATAGTGTGTCAGTGAGCAGTTGTGAAGCCTTGATAACTTCAGATTCATGCCTTTCATTCACACTGCCTTGAATCCAACAAATAATATATCCGGTGTAGCGTATACCTCTATTTCCCCCTTCTGTCTAGGTCACAGAAAGTGTCTTGGCAGAAGAACGGGACCTAACAAAGAATATGAATTCCTCACATATCAACAGGTAAGAATTCAAAGCACTTCAAAGATCCGGTGTAAAATAGGTCTTCAGCAAACCATGCTTGCCATAAAAGGCGACTATGCTTGTCGTAAAAGGCGACTAACGGGATCGGATGATCGGGAGGTCAGGCTAATTCCCAATTACGTGGATCGATGCTCATGATGTCAATCACTGGCTTGTCTGGTCCAGACTCGATTATTTTACAGACCGCCGTCACATAATATGAAATATTGCTGAGTGCGGCGTTAAACAACAAACAATCAAATAAAAGCACTGCACTGCAAAAAAAGTAGTTATCCCGATTTTCTTCAAGTTTGAAAATATCCTGCTGGGAAACGCTAATACGAAACACTCCTGACTAATTCATTGTCCGTGTACGCCATGTGCTGATTATACGAACATGGAGCTTCCAGGACAAGTTACAGGTGTCAATTTACGTTAACCATTTATTTAAAAATACGTGCAACTGTGAGAAGTGAGTGGGCGCTCCGCTTGAATTATTTCAAGATAGACACCACTTTATAGATAACAACTTCTTTAATACTGTGAAAAGCGACGTTTCGGTATAGATCCTTAAAACCGTTGTCAAGCAAGACAAGTCTACAACGGCATAAGGATCTATACCGAAACGTCGCTTTTCACAGTATTAAAGAAGTTGTTATCACTAAAATAGTGCCTATCTTGTCATCCGTCAACTTCCAAGTAATGCCTATCAAACAATTTGAATTATTTCGTCACGTATTTGTGACAATCAAAATGAAGGCATCAATTCCAGAGCTTGTTCCAGGCTACGTTACAATTTGAAATCGTAGCGCATGTTTAGAAACTATAGGACTATCTGGTTCAGAAATGTCATTAATTTTTTCAAGGGTCAATGACCCGGTGATCTTGACAATATGAAGCATCCGCAAATTAATTTATTGTTCATTACAGCTTTAGCTTCATTTAAGGACGTGCGTAATAAAACGTTTATCAATACAACCGCAATAAAATATTCGAAAATGTGATATGTATCTTTAATAAAATATGCCATATACCTAAAGACCGTCCCCAGTTCCTAACGCTTTGTTGATAGGGTGAAGAGGTTCGGTGCACTTACTCATTGCATGTCGCCTTGCCCCTGTGGGTAGATAGTTGCTTGCTCGTGGGTTCAGGTATTGACCCGCCTGATCCAGACCGACCGCCTCCGTGGTCTTGTGGTAGAGCGTCCGCCCGGAGAGCGGAAGGTCCAGGGTTCGATCCCGGGCCGCGTCATACAAAAAGACGTTAAAAGATTGTACTTGTTGTTACCCTGTCTGGCGCTCGGCATTAAGGGGCTAAAACAAGGACTGGTCGGCTCGGCGTCAGTATACTGTGTCTGAGTGGGATATTCATGTTAAACTGCGGCATGGTATCTCAGTGAGCTAGCACTATAAATCGGCATCAGTCCGGACTAGTACAAGCAGCCACACACACACATACACGTGCATGCACGTCGCTATATAAGTGCAATAATCTTGGACGCGACGTTAAACCCAATTTCACCTCACCTCACCTGATCCAGACCTGATTATTTAGAGACCACCTTGATACCGCTAGAACATTGCTGACCGTGGCGATAAGCAGCATTCACTCACCTGATGTCATTTTACAATTACAGGTGTACGACAAGACCCGAGAGTTCGGCTCCGGGTTGATACAGCTGGGTTTGAAGCCGCACCCAGACACGTTTATTGGCATATACAGTATAAACAGAATAGAGGTGAGTTGCAGGAGGTGCCCAACACCCTTGACCGTGTCAGTAATATACCGTTTGAAAGTTAAGCTGCATTATTTATGTACAGCGCAAAGAGGTAGTCGTGCGTTCAGTGCCCACGCTCTCGCGTATTGGCAGATTTGTAGAACAAGCTCATAAAACGCATGCTCTGGCGCATGTCTTTGAATTAAATTATGAGTGCATCAGACGGGTTCATTTTATTTCAGAAGTTCTCTTTAGGAACATATGCACGTGTGTGTTCTGTTGATAATGACTGTTCGGGGGTTCGGGGATTCGATTGTCTCGCTATTCACATACGTGTTCTGTAGACAGTTGGCTTGTCTCGCTATTCACATATATGTGTTCTGTAGACAGTTGGCTTGTCTCGCTATTCACATACGTGTGTTCTGTAGACAGTTGGCTTGTCTCGCTTTTCACATACGTGTTCTGTAGACAGTTGGCTTGTCTCGCTATTCACATATATGTGTTCTGTAGACAGTTGGCTTGTCTCGCTATTCACATACGTGTGTTCTGTAGACAGTTGGCTTGTCTCGCTATTCACATATGTGTTCTGTAGACAGTTGGCTTGTCTCGCTATTCACATATGTGTTCTGTAGACAGTTGGCTTGTCTCGCTATTCACATACGTGTGTTCTGTAGACAGTTGGCTTGTCTCGCTATTCAGATACATGTGTTCTGTAGACAGTTGGCTTGTCTCGCTATTCACATACGTGTGTTCCGTAGACAGTTGGCTTGTCTCGCTATTCACATACGTGTGTTCCGTAGACCGAGTGCTTGTCTCGCTATTCACATACGTGTGTTCTGTAGACAGTTGGCTTGTCTCGGTATTCACATATGTGTGTTGTGTAGACGGTTGGCTTGTCTCGGTATTCACATACGTGTGTTCCGTAGACCGTTGGCTTGTCTCGCTGTTCACATACGTGTGTTCTGTAGACAGTTGGCTTGTCTCGGTATTCACATACGTGTGTTCTGTAGACGGTTGGCTTGTCTCGGTATTCACATACGTGTGTTGTGTAGACGGTTGGCTTGTCTCGGTATTCACATACGTGTGTTGTGTAGACGGTTGGCTTGTCTCGGTATTCACATATGTGTGTTGTGTAGACGGTTGGCTTGTCTCGGTATTCACATACGTGTGTTGTGTAGACGGTTGGCTTGTCTCGGTATTCACATATGTGTGTTGTATAGACGGTTGGCTTGTCTCGCTATTCACATACGTGTGTTGTGTAGACGGTTGGCTTGTCTCGTTATTAATAATAGCTAACTTGTACTCTTCGTGATTGGCTGCAATATTGCCGATGCGATGTAAAATTGTAACTCACTCAAGTTATTCACATACGTGTGTTCTGTTGACAGTGGGTGGTGACGGAACAGGCATGCAATGCCTACTCCATGGTAACAGTTGCCCTGTACGACACACTGGGACCAAAGGCCTGCCAGTACATCGTTAACCACAGTAAGTTAACAGCTTGTCGCCTGAAACGCCTTCATTGTGCAGAGTTGCGTCCCATAAACACACCGGGATCCGCAGATTGTGGGTTCGGATTCCAGTTTCGCCCTAATTATCATCCATGGTTTGTCAGCACCAGACCAGCGCCATAGTATCAAAAATTGATAAATACTGGCATTCCCTAGCATTGCAGTCTGTCAGCTCTTTCGCGGAGGTTTTAATTTCAATGAGTAATGATTTGTAATAAGTACCTTACTCTTGTTGGTTTGAAGACGTTGTTAAACGCATGGCATTTTATTAGAATGAGTGTAATATTCTAGACAATGGTAGCCTCAACAACAATTTAGTGTGAACTTAGCTGTGGCCAGCGTTAGCTCGCCACACCACATATCCCCCAAAAAATTAAAACCTATTTCTGTTTTCCACCGACGTCATATGGCCGGAATATTGCGAAAAGCGGCATGAAACTATACTCAGTCACTCACTATTGTTGGTGCAAAGATGTTGGTGCGGTGTGAAAATACTACTCACTAACTCCTTACAGTGGAGTTGACGACGGTGGTGTGTGACACGGCAACGCGGGTTGAGAAGCTCCTCGACAGCGCCGAGACGACACCTTCCCTGAAGACCATCATCGTCATGGATGACCCAGGCAGTGACGTCATCAAGCAAGCAGAGGCTCATGGGATACAGATTCTCACATTCGCCGAAGTCGAGGTGATTCTAGGGGTTTATGGAGAACGATAATGTGTATAATTATTATGTGATTTAAAATGAAGCGTATACAATCAAACAAGTCGAATAATGAATCGATTGAAATTGGAATAGAATATCCGGTATGCATGAGAGAAACACCAACAATGTTTTGTGTTTCAAAAACGTATTGAATTTCAAATTTATACGAGTTATTTCGGAGATACACCTACGTTTAGACTTACGAATCTGTAAAAAGTCGGGTATTTTCTTTTCATATTGACACAACACATATCCGTTCATCAGGCTGTATTTAGTCAGGGGTAATAACGAGAAATAATATCCATTTTTTTTAAAAAAAAATTCCAGGCACGCGGCAAAGCGAAACTCGAGATTCCTGTGGTAAGTATTGTTAGAAGCGCTCGTACAATCATCATATCGTTAACCTCAGTCACTAGGAGAGTTTTACAAGACGCAGAAACGGGCGTCCAGTTCTCACAAATGTAGAGAAGAGACGCAGAAAAAAATGTGTTGCGTCCCTCGGCCCTCATCATAATATTCATTGTACGAAATTCTTCACAAGAAATATAAAGGTCCTGTAGTTGGGCTTCCTGTCCGCCTCCAGCTTTGTAAGGCAACATGAAACACTGAAATGTCTGAAAAATGCATTAATAACTGGTATATCAAGCAACATTGTACGTCTAGTAACATCTGAGTTGTACATTAATTGGAGCAGTTTACGTGGACGTATTCAAAGGCATCTTACCAATCTAACGTCTATCCTTCAGCCCCCCAAGCCCTCAGATCTGGCGACAGTTTCATTCACCAGTGGAACAACAGGTAAATATATGTCAGCCAAAACAGTCGTGTGTATTATGCCCCGGGACATAATATCCCATGCCTCTTGTAAGAGCCGACCAGGATATCGGTTGGCCAGGGTAGGTGACTTGTTTGACTGTGTTGCATCGTACCCGATGGTTCATGCTTTCATTCACGTTTGGTCAAGACCCGGCTTACTCACAGGCCGCTATGAAATAGCTGGAATATTGCTGAATGCGGCGTTAAACAACATACACTCGCCGCGAAATGAGATGGTTATGCAATCAAAATTGTTTCACATCTTTCCTAGTCTTACCAGACCGTAAATACTGAAGAGTTTGCTGAATATTCTGCGTGTAATATGATAAATGATTTTCATTTCGATGTCGAAAATGTTATTCATCGTCTTGTTTTTGGTCAGAGTATTAGCCCATACAATTTACGACATTAACAGGTTGATATCAAGGACTTTGAAGAAGTATAGTCATCTGAAAACCGCTCCACCATTACTAATCATGTTTAATTCACACGTATTTTCTTTGGCGCCGCGATTCGCCGTGCAGAGTTGAAATAGAATTTGAAATTTGAAATAGACCATTCTCACTTTTTAACGTGTTTGTAGTGTTATGACTTCGTAAAATACATGTACATGTATATTTACATATAACCATAAATAAATATCAGTGACACTGTGCATATTTCTTTGCAAAATTTTATGCCTTATCCAATGACAACTGTTTATAATTACAGTTAATGGAATTTTGATTCGAGTTTTCGAAAAATGACTTTGTATTAATTGTTTTTAATTGGAAATGGTTATGTTTTTACCGCAGAATTTTGTAATGTCACGCAGAATTTTGATAATTCTATGTCAGAATTCGTCTGGGACTGCGGGAATGATCTGTCACAACTAATAAGTGAGGCATTTCAGGGGAAACAATTTCTGTGTAAAACAATAAAATATACACAAAACCCACATTAAAATATTATCGTAGCTGTCAACAATGTGTGTTTACTTGTACATTGCAGGAGACCCTAAGGGAGTGATGTTGACACACGGCAACTTTGCTGCAGAGTTGGCAGGCTTTATGTACGGAATTACGGTAAGCATATACTGTAGTATATCCATTTAAAACATGTTCATATATGTTATGAGGAGGTATATTTTTTAAATTGCCAGAAATAACATGGGTCGTTCTTTCTGAAGAAAACCTCCGAGGTCAAATTAGATGTACATAGATGTACATTAATCTCTCCCTTGTACGAGGAAATTCGATATATTTGCAGCACTGACACCGACACTCTGTCATCGATGAAGTCTTTTTCATACATATGACTTTGCAGCGCAATTGCACTCTAAGTTCACTCGCGTGGGTTGTCAAGCTGAAGTCATCTTCCCGAGACAAGGGAGTTAACTGTAAATTGGACTTTTATAGTCAGTTAACTACCTTGGGTGGATGGCTATAGTTGTCGAAAGAGTGACTAAAGGGATTTGGTGATCAACTTGTTTGTTGAGCGTCCTCGTACCCCTCATATCAATCATGGTTTTTTTCTGGCCCTTCTGGACCATATTCAATTATATGAACCCGTCGTGAAAGTGCTGGAATCATGGCGTTAAACCACAAAAACAAAAGAACAATCATGTCGGAAGATTGGAAAGGGCTTTTGAAACCATACTCTTATTTCAAATAAAACAAGTAAAATATTAAAATAAATCTTCACTGAATTGAATTGGGGGAATACGGTTTACAAGCAGTCGAGTTCGCCGCAGTTCTCTGTGTAGCGCTGCTTTCCTTAGTCGTGCCAGGATCCTCTGATCCTAGATTCGGACCGATTATGATCCTTGGTCAGGCTATACCTGTACTCGTGGGTGTCAGCAAAAGGGGTACACGTCTACTACCTGGTGTATTGGGATGTTCCTCCCCCAGTCAGTTGACACAACGTGATATTGATGAAATATTGTTGACCCTGAAATTAAGTTACTCGTTAGGACATCAAAGCCGGTAATACAGAGGACCATGGTACAATTCTGCAATAATTCTCAGTTTACTCCGAGCCGCAGAAAACCGAGTCTTTCAAAATACATGTTTGTGTAGAATGAACCATGATGAATGCGTTACAATCAAAGCGAGGCATACAACTTTGAGCTGTTTGCCATAATGAAGCTAGTTTTGATGTGTGATGAAGTTGGTGATCGATTACCTATCCGCTCTGAAGCAATTTTGACAGCATGTAGAGAACTGTTTTCAGACGGGCAATTCAGATCCGTTCAGCCAGATACAGCGTGTCTGAACTTCCTTGTCGGTGAATGACGATTTATGACATTTTGTTCCTTTTGACAAATGCCGCGGCTGACATACTCGTAGCCCCCTGAACTGCTTGGAGGGAAATCTTTGCGATGAAAACCGTTAAACTGTTTGAGTACTTTAAAAAGGGCATAGCTGGATGAACCGAATGATGTGACTGATTTTATTGATGATAAATTGAGGGAAAAAAACTAATTCATGTGTACGCGTTTCTTGTATCTCGTGGTAAGGATTCCCTGTGGTTATTAATTTGAAAGTGTTTAGCCCGGGGCCCCTTGTTATTGGTAGTGTATGGCGGCAACATACCCGTGCGTCAGCGTTATAAACATCTACTGTCTGTGAGGTGGCCCAGTTGTCTACGTCTCCGATTCACCCGTGACGATCCGGGGTAGAATAGGTCTAAAGCAAACCATGCTTGCCGTAAAAGGCGACTGTGCTTGTCGTAAGAGTTGACTAACGGGATCGGGTGGTAAGGCTCGCTGACTTGTTGATGCATGTCATCGTTTTAGCAATATTCCAGCAATATCACAGCGGGGGGACACCAGAAATCGGCTTCACACATTGTAACCATGTCGGGAATCGAACCCGGGTCTTCGGCGTGACGATCGAATGCTTTAACCACTAGGTTACCCGACCGCCCCCCTGCCCAAACTGATTTTGTTTATCGGTCTGTCAGCTTGAGGGTTAGTAAGCGTAAGTATGTCTCCCAGACCCTCAAGAATACATTTAAAATGCCCAATTCAAGTCTAGATGTATTTGCCAAGTCTAGATTGCTTCATGTCTAGGCCTGAAATAAAGGATTCATTTTGGACTCCATTTCTATTTTTAAAAGGTTACTTTATTTCTCGGACTAAATTTAAAGTCTAGGTAAATGTCTAAGACCTGCATCACTTCGGGCTCTGCTCCCATATCAAGTTGTCACGTGCATAGTAATTAAATACTGTTCAACTTGAGCGGCTTTAAACCCAACTCACTCACTCACTTTAGCCCACATAGAGCTAAAACGCAGTGATATACTGTTCAAAATACGTCATGTGTATTCAGCTCAAACATCTCCTCGACAGCAAGTTCTATCATAGGGATTGAACGACCCAGACAGACATACGGACATATTTTATTTATAAGCACAAACGATATTCATGATGTACAGATGTGTATATCAACCAAAACCTGCCTCTTAATTCAACGACATAGACAACATTTATGTGAGAAAATGTTAATTCTGTTCCCCCAACCCCCACCCCCACCCCCAACCCCCACACTCATAACGCTACGTGAGTGGCACGATACATTGCTTTTTATTAAATGACAGTTTCTCGCTGTCGTTCGCATTTGAAATATGTCCCATGTTGGCACACAACCACGACTGCAGGAGCCCAGCAAACTCTGTTTTAGTTGTTTTGTAATCCGTCTGGACTGCGACTAAAATGAGACTCTGGGCGGGGCGTTTGCACAACGCCCTTGGAATGTTTCACACAGATAAGGTTTTACAAAAGTATTATAACATCAAACGTTTGTATAGTCAGTTTTTTTCAGGTTCAGGTTTAAGCTTGTGCACGTGTTTTCTTTATAGGTCTACCATAGGTCGGTAATGCTACACTATAACACGATACTTTGTGGATTTAGCGGCATAAACGTTTCTGATGCCATCAACCACTGGACTGACTCGTTCGGCAGTCAATTATTAATTTTACAATCGATCGTAATATAGCTGAAACATGATTGAATGCGACATAAAACATCATATTGTCACTAATTGTTCAAAATAGGTTCTGTCGTATCTTTTGTCCTCAAGCTAGGTCCGGGACACCGTGGTTGACTAAGTCACTGGGATACGATTTTCAGAGTTGCGTCCCTTTTGCGTACCCGAATCCTATCATCGTGGGTTCGAATTCCAGATTCGCCCTGATTATGTTTAAAGTTTGTCAGAACGACACTCGTGAGTTGCATCAAAGGATTGTACGTCTAAGACCTGATTCAGTTCGGATTTTCGTCCCACATTAAACTGAACGCCGTGATATAAATGAAACACTGTTCAAAGCGGCCATAAACTAAACTCAGTCACTCAAGCTAGTTAAGCTCTCCGCGACTCACTGTCTGACCTTCACCGCAACGTTACGGGAAATGCTCCTTGTAGACCACCTCCATGGTCTAGTGTATAGACCGTCTGTCCGGAGAGCGAAAGGTCGTGGGTTCGATCCCCGGCCGCGTCATAACAAAAGACATTAAACGATGGTACTTGTTGTTACCCTGCCTGGCGTTTGGCATTAAGGGGCTTAAACAAACTAAAAACTGCTCGGCCCGGAGTCAGTATACTGTGTCTGAGTGGGGTATTCATGTTAAACGTCGGCATGGTATCTCAGTGGGCTAGCACTATACATCGGAGTCTGGACTAGTACAATCAGGCACTCTAGCATGCACGTCGCAATAATCTTGAACCCCATTTCACCACACCTAATGTTCCTTCCCCACGGGCTAAGTCTTAACACAATTACCAATTGCGAGTACCAATACGAAGCCAAAGCCTAACGAGACTTTATAACATTAGAACAGCGTCACCTACATGCATACACCTCTGAACAACGTGCTATTTTAAGACAGTTCTCGTAATTGCTTCCTATAACAAGCTTCGAGGCTGATACAGCTAACACCAACTTTAACAGATGCCGCTGTATCCGGCTGTAAGATGAAGCTGTCATGTTATCTGTCTGTTACAGACAGGTCACCATATTCTGTGGAACCCGTTTCTGATACCATTCTCAATATTGATATATGTCGAATATGACTGGTGTGATTGTCAATTTGGCATCGGTGTACATTGATTCTGCTGTCACACTGAGCGCACAATCAATTTAAATGTGGGTTGAGTGACCAAGGGTCATACCACGATGACCGTTGTAATCCTGGTCAGGAAAGGACCTCGTTATCGTGGGACTTCATACATTTTTTATTTGCATGCACCTGCGGGTCGAGGCTAGATCCGTTATCGGGGGGGGGGGGGGTATTTTAAATATTTGGTTTACGGATCCAGCTATGTTCAAAATGAGTAATGCCGAGATAGTCAAGTTGTACATTTCCAATTACCCGTTAGACCCGTGAAGATTCCGGGGTAGAATAGGTCTCCAGCAACCCATGCTTGCCGTAAAAGGCGACTATGCTTGTCGTAAAAGGCGACTAACGGGATCGTGTGGTCAGACTCGCTGACTTGGTTGATGCATGTCATCGATCCCAATTGCGCGGATCGATGCTCATGATGTCAATCACTGTATTGTCTGGTCCAGACTCGATAATTTGCAGACCGCCGTCATACAGCTGGAATATTGCTGAGTGCGGCGTTAAACAACAAACAAACAAACAAACAAACAATAACCCGTTAATGTTAGTGTTTGGCTTTGCTCCAAAACCAAATTGAAAAATTAAGAACTTGGAATAAAAACAACTTCTCACCCAACCAACTCTCCACTTTTACAAAAAGACAAAACAATTGAAATTTCTTATTTGTTTTGATTTTGATTTCGACAGCGGTTTTAAGAAATAAACAAAACCGAAAATAAAAAGAGAATGGCCTTACCGAGAAGCCGAGTTGTCATTATGAAATTGGAACATTGTGACGGACTACATTCCCTCTGAGGATTGTGACAAACACTTGGGGTGACTTGTACCGTGCGGATATGTCTGGAGATGTAAAGAAAAGATTGAGTCATTATTCATATGGCTGGTCACATGACGTCTGTCTCGAGTTGGTCATGCCGACGATTTGTTAATCAAGCTTCATGTAATACGGTTGTCAATCTGTAGTCGGTTCTTGTAATGATAGGCCATGAATTTGCGTTGTTTTATAGATAACAAAAATGACGTTTCAGCTTCATGGCATGGCTTCTTCGGGGACGTTTTCATTGCAGTATGGATTGAATTTAAGAGCACGGTCCAAAATACAAAGGTCAAATTGAAGTATTTTAAGTCATCTCCAAGTATATGTAGGTAAAACCAGAGATTGACAACATTATATCCCTTTCTATAACCTGTCACCCCTACAATGGAAGATGCCATTTTGATTTCAAAGAAAAGACTTGGTTGCGTCAAAGCAGTGCAAATATGCAACATTTTTATATTGAGAAATAAGACGGACGGACCTGGGATTTTGTTTCGAAATTGAATATTTTTTCCGCTACAGATAAAAAACTAGATAAAAAAAATTTCAAAACTATTAGCCTGATTTGTTTTAAAAGAACATTTTGTCATCCCAATTGCCTGTGATCGATGTTCATGATGTTCATGATAACAATCACTGGATTGTCTGGTCCAGACTCGATTATTTACAGACCGCCGTTATATAGCTTGAATATTTCTGAGTGCGGATTTAAACAACAAACAAAACTAATAAAACAGTAGATATGTGAATGTTTCACGACAGCAATAAAACTACGGGATACTATACCAACAAGAATCCGCTTCACACTTTGTACCTATTTGGGGAAACTGGAAAAAAACAACTCTGGTTTTCGGCGTGATGAGCGAACGCTTTAACTGGGCTACTCCATAACGGTTCCATTGCATATTTTAATTATATGCATGTTCTCTTAAAAGGGACGGTCGAGTAGCCTAGTAGTTAAAGCGTTCGCTCGTCACGCCGAAGACCCGGTTTCCATTCCCGACATGGGTACAATGTGTGAAGGCCATTTCTGGTGTCCCCCGCCTTGATATTGCTGGAATATTGCTAAAAGCGGCGTAAAATCAAACTCACTCACTCACTCTCTTAAAGGAGGATACTTTCAAAATAATGTAAACTAACATCATCAGAGTGTAATCTTCTCTTGCAGAATATTCGCGAGTTTTCGCCCGATGACTGCCACTTGTCTTACCTCCCCTTGGCGCACCTGTTCGAGAGGACAATTCAAATGGTCATGTTTTATGGCGGCGGGTACATTGGCTTCTTCTCAGGGGACATAACACTGTTGATTAGCGACGTGCAGACTCTAAGACCTACGATATTCCCTACGGTGCCCCGACTCCTTAACCGAATAAGAGACAAGGTTCGTTATTATTCTGCTATTCAAATATTTTGAACATTTTCTTTGAATGACAAATCAGTTACTTCCCTTTCGATATTATATTTTAGAATCTGTTGTTTACTGAAATTTAGCATGAAATATTGAAGTTTATTCCACATCTTTACAATGTTCAATTGGATAACCCATGAACCATAGTCCCTTTTCAAGAATTACAACAAATTCGTTTCCATGGAAACGCTTGTCACGATTCAGTCGTGATCAGTAATATATCTACTGAATGTGTGGTAGTATATCTCACAATGACCAGTGGACTGTTTCATATTGTACAGGTGTACGCCAATGTGAAGAGTAGCGCCATCAAGTCCTACCTGCTGGACTGGGCACTGTCCAGTAAACTGGTCGAGGTCAGAAGGTAAGTACGTTAGCATTCGTGAATATTGGTAAAAGCTTATGGTTTGTTTCCCGACTGACCTCAAACATTTTTTCTTGTTTTTCTCGAGATGCCTTATCACGTTATTGCCCGTATTTCATACCTCGTGCGTAAAATTCTTGCGCCAATATTGCATATAAAACACACCTGTGACGTCATTTTATTGTTTGAACGCTCCGTTGTTTGTCAACTGGATACTATCTGGAACCAACATTTGAATTTATTTCCACTTGGAATAGATGGAACTATTTTTTACTGACAAGTGAATAATTTCGTTTTTTTTCCCCCGAAAACATATGTCGCCAGCGGGGTTCGAACCCGCATCGTTTGATTTGAGAACATGTAATTGTCAACCTCAGATACGGCGGCACATGAAGGGGTGTTGGGAAATTTTTGTATAAAATATTTTCGTAATTTTGCATAATGCTTTAAAGCTAAATAATATGTATATATTTGTGTTAGAGCAGGTTACCTACAACAATGTTCGTATTCATAGCATTAGATAAATCTTTGGCGAGAAAAAACAAATAAGGTAATATAAATATCCCTTGTTCGGGGGTCTATATTTCCTATTATTCCCGTCAGCATGTAGTATCAATGTGCAAGCGATTGATAAATACTAGTTTAGGATCCAACGAAATTAAGACGAGCCGGGTACCATGCATTGTAAATGTCAGCTCGCGACGGAGCTTGGCGCACGTGCAACTGCGGCAGAGAATGCATTTCCCGTGCATCACGCAAGGGCGACTCACACAGTATAAATACAGACAACAAAGAGTTCTGGTTTATTTTCAAATATTTTCAACAAACGAATATTTTGTCAAAGTGTAGAAGTAGGGGCCTCTGCTCCATTATTTTTTCGGACATTCCCCTCTACTTACAGTTTCTCAAAGAACAAAAAGTACATTATTTTATATATATTTTAAAACAGACTTACCTACCCCATTCTTGGATGGGACGCGATGATAAATACACATTTCAATCAATCAATCAATCGATCAATCACGATGTGTTCCATCACGATGCTGTTAACGCCAGATTTATGTCTGTTCAGGGGAATAGTTCGGCGCGACAGTATATGGGACAAGTTGGTGTTCGGCAAGATCCAGGCAATGCTTGGAGGGCGGGTGGAGTTCCTCATCACAGGGTCGGCGCCCATACCCACAGAAACTCTCGACTTCTTCAAGTGTGCTCTTGGCTGCATGGTAAATAGCTTCTCTTCAGCTTTTTCCAAAAGAAATAACATCGCACGGTGGACATGCTGGATGTTTTGAAAATTTAGGATGTGGATGAAATGAAAAGGTCGACCACTAAACCATTTTATTTTAAAAATATCAAAGATTATTGTGTTAAATTTGGCAAAACGGTGTAACAGATTTGCTCTCACTGTGTTAGGCCCGTTAACATCGGGGTTAGAATAGGTCTCCAGCAACCTATGATTGTGAGAGGCGACTATTGGCGTAAGAGGCGGGGACCACGGGTTGCCCAGTCGTTTGAGGCGTCGCGATTCGCTGTGCAGAGTTGCGTCCCTTGGGCACGCTTATGATTGTGGGTTCGAATCCCGGTCGCCCCTATTATATTTCTAGGTTTGTCAGCCCCATGCCTTTGCTCGTGGGTTTCACCGAAGCGGTAAACGCCTGAGACCTGCATCACTGTGCTTTCCTCCCACATTAAGCTGGCACGCCGCGATATAACTGGAATACTGTTAAAAGCAGCGTTAAACCCAACTTCCTCACTCACGTTAGAGGCGGCTAATGGGATCGGGTGGTCAGGTTCGCTGACTTGGTTGATGCTCGTCATCGTGAATAGATGCTCATGATATCAAGCACTAGATTGTCAAACAAAGAAAACACTGTATGAAAAGGTCATGGTATTGTCAATCACCGGTTTGGGCCACTCTTATTACCGGCAACACTCATGAAAGTCGTATTATGCAACATATGACGAACAGCTGAATGAAAGGATGACAGGTACCGTTTTTACCATCAGGTCGGCGAGGGGTATGGTCAAACCGAGGCTGTGTCAGGGGTCACGGGGCAATATCCCGGAGATGTGACAACAGGTATGTGACAATACATAACGAGGGACAGGTATATTAAATCACCGAAAATAACCGATTTGTAACTGTAACAGGATTAACAGTGCAACTGAGGATACGATGTCTGCAGTATATTATTGACACCATTTAATTACATATGTACTTACCGTAGTAACTGATAGTCTTTTGAGGGGCACGGGTGGCCCAGTTGTCTAAGGTGCAGCCTGTGATCGTTGGTTCGAATGCCGGTTCTCCCCGGTCATGTTTCTCGGGTATGTCATCACCATACCTGTGCTGGTGGGTTTCACCAAAGTGGTAAACGTGCATCAATTCGGGCTTTCCTTCCACATCAAGCTGACACGCTGTGATGCAACTGAAATTCTGTTCAAAGCGGGGTTAAACTTTGCTCACTCACTAATATTGGGACCCGTGAAAATCCGGGGTAGAATAGATCTTCAGCAACCCATGCTTGCCGTAAAAGGCGACTATGCTTGTCGTAAAAGGCGACTAAAGGGATCGGGTGGTCGGTCTCGCTGACTTGGTTGGTGCATGTCATCGTATTCGAATTGCATGGATCGATACCTATGATGTCAATCACTGGATTGTCTGGCCCAGACTCGATTATTTACAGGCCGCCGTCACATAGCTGGAATATTGCTGAGTGCGGCGTTAAACAACAAACAAACAAACTTATTTTTATTTATATATAGTTTATTTCCGGTATTGGCGATGTGACACCCCCAACTCACTCCCCCAACTAATTAAACTTTTACTGGTTTCTACTTGATAGTCTTTTGTCGTTGACTCTTCCTTTTAATATTTAATTTATTAAAAAATCCGAATTGATTACACATTCATTAAATGTCGTATAGTCTTTATTTTATGTCTCTTCTCGTGTACCTGTGTTAGAATGTATTTCATTTCTTTCCAAACAAATGAGTGAGAACGAATATTTCAATGTGAACAGGTCACGTGGGATCACCGTTCGTGTGTAACCTCGTCAAATTGGTTGATGTCCCTGACATGAATTATCTGGCCTCAGACAACAAAGGGGAGGTAAGGCATCAAGTTTCTTACAGTCGAGGCAGTGGAACAGTCGGTGTGATATGTAACATATACGGGGATGTATTATGCATAGTCGATTGTAGGAAAAAGGTTATTCACATACGTTCAGGGAGCACGGGTGGCCCTGTCTCCCGAGGCGCCGCGATTCGCTGTGCAGAGTTGCGTCCCTTGGGCATACCCCAAACCTGTGATTGTGGGTTCGAATCCCGGTTCGCCCCTATTATGTTTCTAGGTTTGTCAGCACCATACCCGTGCTCGTGCGTTTCACCGAAGTGGTAAACGTCTGAGACCTTCATCACTTTGGCTTTCCTCCCACATTAAGCTGACACGCTGCGATATAACTGGAATATTGTTAAAAACGGCGTTAAACCCAACTCACTCACTCGCTCGCAAACGTTCACATATGTAAACTATATCAAAGATCAATCTATTTTTAACTAACAACACAATTTACAATTGTTAAAAAAATCAAAGATGTATTTGTATAGTTTCCTTAAGGTCACAATACCAAGGGCAAAATCACTTTTCAGGTAAAGTGGATTGACAGAGGCATAGAATTAATAACAGAGGCTGGTTATTTACAAATGTGTATATTTGTCCGTGTCAAATAACCAGAGTTTATGGATTTGCTCTGGTAGAAAGAGTTATGGTTTTGAATACATCCAGTCATTGCATAGAAAAAACTGCATACCATCTTTGTATTTTTGCACAGGCGTTTCGTTGCGAATATTGATTGCTGGTGTGTTTTAGAGTATGGCACAATACAATTCGTTTTTGTCCTTCAAACTATTCCTTTTAACTCATATTTTGTTTCTCTTGTCTCATTAAACAAAGGGCGTGATTGATTTTATGCAACAAGCACCACTGGGTAGTGGGCCTTTAAAATGATATAGTAAACAGATGTAGATATATCATAATGATGGGGAGGATTATTTTGCATTTTCAACTATTGCCCATGTAGTTACACAGCTACACAATGTCTTGGTTGCAGAGGTATACAATGTCTTGGTTGGAGAGCTATACAGTGTCTCGGTTGCATAGCTTTGCAGTGTCTCGGTTGCATAGCTATACAATGTCTTGGTTGCAGAGCTATGCAATGTCTTGGTTGCAGAGCTATGCAGTGTCTGGGTTTCATAGCTCTGCAGTGTCTTGGTTGCATAGCTATGCAGTGTCTGGGTTGCATAGCTATGCAGTGTCGTGGTTGTAGAGCTATACAATGTCTTGGTTGCATAGCTATGTAGTGTCATGGTTGGAGAGCTATACAATGTCTTGGTTGCATAGCTATGTAGTGTCATGGTTGGAGAGCTATACAATGTCTTGGTTGCATAGCTATGTAGTGTCATGGTTGGAGAGCTATACAATGTCTTGGTTGCATAGCTATGTAGTGTCATGGTTGGAGAGCTATGCAGTTTCTTGGTTGCATAGCTATGTAGTGTCTCGGTTGCATAGCTATACAGTGTCTGGGTTGCATAGCTATGTAGTGTCATGGTTGGAGAGCTATACAATGTCTGGGTTGCATAGCTATGCAGTGTCTTGGTTGCAGAGCTGAACACTTGATTGCATGGCTATACAACATGTCCTTGTCACGTATACCAGGAACTAATGTCCGACCCCCCTCACTGTATTTCCTCCTCAGTGACTATGAAAGCATTATAGCTGATGGATCGCCAATGACGTAACTGTAATCTCATCCATGTTTCAATTCCATTGTTTGGTGTGAGTTTGTTTTGAATGTAGTCACTATTTTTTGCAGGTTTGTGTATACGGTCCAAATGTGTCGCCAGGGTATTACAAGAATCCGGAGAAAACAGCGGAGGTGATCGACAAGGACGGATGGCTACATACGGGCGATATTGGCGAGTGGCTGCCGGTGAGACTGTTATCTGTTGTGACATCAATCAAGATGTACCTGTCTGCTGCATAGTTAATGTCTGCAAGGCTATTAGTAAGTAGGCTACGCGTTACGTAAAAACGAGAGCTCCGGCAGACTCGGTAACATTTATCAATACGTAATCATGGAGTTCATAGTCGCAGAGGAAAGCAGGTAACAGAGATAAAAACAATATTTACAAGAACATAGGATACAGATCCATGATTAAGCTATTATCATTAAAGGGAACATGGGTGGGCCAGTCGTCCAAGGCACGGGAATTAGCTGTGCATAAATGCGTCCCAAAGGCATGCTATGAACCCATGAGCGTGGGAGCGAATTCCACATTCGCCTTGATTGTTTCAAGGTTTGTGAGCACCACAACTGCTCCTTGGTGTTATCAAAGTGGCCATGGATAAGACATGCATCTTTTCAGGCTTTCCTTTCACATGAAGACGTGGTACAACCATCTGCCAGAGGCAAGAGAGTTAACTGACTATAAAAGTCCAGTTTCCAACCATGCTGAACGAGGCAGGAGTTGTGGAGTGTTATTATATACTTCAGCGTGAAAGACTGAGTTTTCCAAAGTTGAGAAAAGTGATATTTTTATTGCAGTGAACATAACACTTGATATTTCACTGCTGTGAACATAACACTTTGACGGAACTATTGTCATACAAGAGTGACCTCCCCTCAAATTGGATCCCTTTATGGTTGTGTCTCGCCGGTACACCAACTGTTGACTTCCTTTTAACGTTAGTTCCACATTGACAAGGCAAAATAATGCCAGATTATTTTATGGAAAATGTTTCGTTATAAACTGTAAATTTCTCATTTAACTTGTCAATCTTTTCTCAAAATGCCATATTTGTTACTTGACCGACGTGTATTCTTTCGCTTCCAACAGCGGTCTTGTTATTTTCAAGACTACTTTTAGTTAAAGTTGATTTTGTATTTAATCATATCTATATGTATGATATAGAATTTTCGCGACCCTAAATATATTTTTTGCTTTTGTTCATAGTTTTAAGACTTTGCAAAAACGAAACTACATTTTTGTCGCGAATACATGGGGTGGTGAACCGTCCCTGTTTGTTGGGGTAGGGAGAATTTACGTTACATTGTAATGAAATCATTTATTTTTCCGGTAGTCAACTACACAGAACGTATATAATATAAATAGAATATTCCATGTGTGTCGTGAAATATCATGTTTCTCTCATCTCGTTACATCTCGATATTTTCGCTCCACACATGAATATCCTCTATACATTTTGACTGGACGAACGAGTTTTTGCATCGTCCAATCAAAACCGCGTAACGAAATCAACATCCGGTCCACCACAGCGACTGCAGATTTCGGTCGACTGCAGGATTTTGCAGAGTATGTGTGCCGTCAACTGGGGGTCGACAGATTTGCTTTTAATCAAGGTGCTCAAGTGATTTCTTCGCGAGAAGAGACACATTTTATTATGACAAAGATCTTGATTATCGATCGTGACTGAGCGTCGCCATATTTTTTAATAAATGCAAGTGATATGAGAGATGGAACCTGATTGGTCAGTTAGGACGGACATAACTTGTAAAAGCCGCTGGTGTCGCCACGAAATTCCAACCTAGTTCGGCAAGAGTGGAAGCTGGACTTTTACAGTCAGCTAACTCCCTTGCCTCGGGAAGATGTGGTATAACCAAACGCGCTTTGACATACCATGTCCAAAGATCGTGTGTTAGGATATGCACTGTTGAGATTCTAAATCACTTAAGGTCCCCAATACATACCCCATGCTTGTCGTAAGAGGCGACCGAACAGGAACGTCTAAGGCGCCGCTATTCGCTGTGCAGAGTTGCGTCCCTTGGGCACGCTTTATGGCATGGCGAACAATCCACAGCGTCGGTGAGCTATCACGCACATCCAAGTTCAGCAAACCCGAAAAACATACGGGTTTGAAAAGGTCTTCAGCAACTTTTGTTTGTCGTAAGATGCGACTAACGGGCTCGCTGACTTGGTTGATGCATGTAACCGTATACCAAATGCATAGATCGATGCTCACGATGTGAATCACTGGATTGTCTGGTCCGGACTCCAGTTTTTACAGACCGCCGTCATATATCTGAATGTGGCGTTAAGCAGTAAACAAACACATTCAGCAAGACCAGACACTATAACCACCCAGTCCCCATGTAACCGAGCGTTTGCTGCTGGCATGGGGCACGTGGGGCGAATTTTGAATCTGTGAGGAATCGTGATGCGGATGTAGTAGTACCAGCTATTTTGCAAAGAAAACACGATCACATCGCAAAGAAAAACGCATTTAAAACATGTAGTACCATTAACATCAATAAAAAATTTAGTGTTTAATGTTTATCAAAAGTTAAAAATTCTATAGGGCGTTTGATTGACATGCCTATGTACAGACGCGGCTACTCCGACAATGTGATTCCGATAAGGATGCAGTGGGGCTGTTATTGAGGAAGTAATTAGTTCACACAGAAACGCCCCCCAAGGGCCATTAAGAATTTATTTCTGTTGCGATGTAATGAAGTTGGGCTTGCTGTCAGTCGGAATCTAGGACAGGGGTTACAACACTGTTTTTGTAACAACCTACGAGTCGTTCCTTGTGAACAGTTCAGGCAGCGTGCCGTTGGCTTTTTGTAAAAGATGCGTTTGGGAATTTTGTGATCGATCATTTTAAGTAGGAGTGAGTGAAAGTTGTATTTCACTGCTGTCGGCTTCATTCCAGTAGTATTACGACGGCTTGTGAATAATGGAATCTGCTCCAGGCAAACCAGTGGTTGATGGCTTGATTTGTTTGTTGTTTATCGCCGCACTCAGCAATATTCCAGCTATATGACGGCGGTCTGTAAATAATCAGATAACCAGACAATCCAGTGATTGACATCATCAGTATCGATCCACGCAATTGGGATACGATGACATGCATCAACCAAGTCAGCTAGCCTGACCACCGGATCCCATTAGTCGCCTGAACAAAATCCCCATTTTTTTCAATATTTATTATAAATACTTTTGACAGAGATTATTTAGTCCTGTAATGTTAACTACTACCTTCCATCGACCCGTGAAGATCCGGGTTAGAATAAGTCTTCAACAACCCATACTTGCCGTAAAAGGCGACTATGCTTGTCGTTAAAGGCGACTAACGGGATCGGGTGGTCAGGCTCGCTGACTTAATTCATGCTGGTCATCGATCCCAACTGTGTGGATCGATGCTTAATTTCTCATTAAAATCAGACCTTAGTTCTCGCTACCGCTGAACAAAGATCTGAAGTCATCCCATAAGGGGTCGCGTCAGAACGACCTTTCATCCTACTAATCAGAGCGTCGCTTACCAGATTATGAAAATGACAGTCGGAATGTGATTTCTACCTCGAAATGCATAACATGGGGTATTCTGAACGATAGTTACGGGTTTAACGACTGAATCCATACGATCTAGATCATCTATTAGCCATTCAAGAATGTTCTTTTGTTTAGGTTTCAAAATTGTAACAGAGAATTTGTCAAAATATGTTTCGAAGCGTAGTCGCCAATTTGAAATTGGTGCTGTAAAGCACGAGAAAGCTCCCTTCTGATTGGTCAATCTATTGGTCGGTCAAAGTTCGCGCAAGGTCGGTCTGACGTGACCCGTAATGGGATGTCCTCAGATCTTTGTTTAGCGATAGCGAGAACTAAGATCTGATTTTAATGAGATTGCGATGCTCATGACATCAATCACAGGTGTGTTGAAAGCTTTCACTCACTCAGCCTAAAACTCAGCCTAACTTTGTGTGTGGGGGTGGGTGGGTGGGTGGGTGGGTGAGGGGGCGATTAGTAACAAGAATTGTAACAAGCCTTATACTTAAGATTGAGGTGAGGCCTCCGTGGTGTCGTGGGTTGAGCATATGCCCAGGTCTGTGGTTCCCTCCCCTGGTCGGCCCTTACCAAAAGACTTTAAGAAATGGTACTTGTTGTTACCCTGTCTGGCGCTATAAAAGTCCCGACTCATACAATAGGCCACACAGACGTACATGCACGTCACTTTATAAGTGAAATAATCTTGAACCAGACGTAAAACCACATTTCACCTCACCTCACCTCACCTCACCTCACCTCACCTCACCTCACCTCATGTTTAGTTGCTGTGACACGCCGTTCATTTACATGAATGGCCCAAATATCCTACTGGTCATCCTTGATAAGTTGAACCAACTCACAATCCGTGTTTGAGACAAGTAGGTGGTTCACAGAATTTGGGCAAACATATTTGGTGTTACTGGTAGAGAGGGTGTACGCATATTGTGCACGTGCAGGTCATGATGATGAAATTGACTACGCTGCCATGAACACACGTGTGGAGACTACTAAGAGGTCGGTGTGACAAGTACCAAAATTCTCTGAAGTCGTTTGATAGAAGTCAATTACAAACAAATAAACATGTCAAAGCGAGGTGACCATGGCCAAATCATACATTCTCAGGCTCGAGAATTGACCTATAATGTCATAAATTACATGAAGAAAGAATGTACCAATAAATCTCAAGCATTGTCAAAATCTAGCATTGCCACTGGTCTACGCTAAAGCGCATCCGTGCAGAAGGTATCGCTCTTGACAAAAGTATTCCATTTTCACGGCAAATGAATTCCCTTCATTGTCACATACTTCTCAGTTGTTACCTATGCACAATGCTGTCACCCTTTTCACAGTCATAGGGCACCTTACATCAGCACGTACTATTATGTGCTATTGAACTCGAGACAACACGAACATCATCCATCGCACTACATGTCGCGGACCACCCGCTACCCCTTCGTTCACAACGCGCCAGTGGGCGGACCTCATACACAGTCATAAGGGGCTAATTGTCAGGTCACAACTCAACATATCCTGGTTTACCAGTGGATAGGATGCTACTTCCTCTGTGATTGAGCATTCTCGTGCTCTCCTCTGCCACTTTGCTTCATGAAATAACGTTATTTGTAGTTGTACGTGCAACAGAAAATAAACATCAACCAATATCATCGACCATCTACTTCTTTCGTGTGATTTGGTTTCCATAAACGTATACATCAACCTATTTTCCTCCGCAGAATGGCGCTTTGAAGCTGATCGACAGAAAGAAGCATATCTTTAAATTAGCACAGGTACGTGAAATAAAATGCCACAAGCTGATTGTGAGAATACTGATTTATCAACTCACCTGACTAAAAGTCCAGTGTCGTCGTTTATTCGCACTTTTCTAAAATGCCTTTGTTGACATTTTAAGCTGTTGACTTCATATATCCAGGTGAGCTACAATGCCGTATCACTGTTTCTATTACTTAACGCATTGCACTATTCATACACGTATCGTTTTAAATACTTATAATAGTATTTGTTTATGTATGTTTATAAAGTGTATGTTTATTATCAATGTGTTATAGTATTTACCCACTAGCCCGATGCTAGCATTATCTCTGTCGGTCAAGTTTAACTTGGATGTGGTTAGCGTGTGTGAAGTGGGTCTCTTGGTTTTCCTCGTCTGAATCGCCGTCATATGACTGAAATATTGTTCTAAGCGACGTAAAACCCACACACTCATCGATGTTTAAGAACATTCTGCAGACAAGGAAACAGTATATTTTCTATCGCGTAATGTGTTTCTTTGTATAACCGTGACATTAATCGTGAGAACCCCATCCATATGGCCATTGTACTGCTTTAATACTGTATTGCAAAGCAGCTTTAACTAAAAAAATAGCTCTAAGATGAGTCTCATACGATGAGTGTTATGCTACAGTAATGACGTGAATCAGTGAGTGTGTCTAATGCATTAAGCAGAGCGGAAGTGAGCTGATTATCACAAGCCTGTAGCCTCATTTACCCGTGTTTGTCGCCCCAGGGGGAGTACGTGGCCCCGGAGAAGATCGAGGCCATCTATGTTCGCAGCGAGTTCGTGGCCCAGGTCTTTATCGATGGCGACAGCCTGAAGGTAGGTATTCTAGTGGTAAATGTCATGAGTGGTCGATGGCTGACGCGTTCTGTTGGACTCGGTTGTGTCTTCTGCCTGAAAAGTATATATTGGACCTTTTTTTATTGAATCTCATGTTGTGTTTAGATCCTTGGGTCTTCACAGCAATATTGTTGGCCAAATTCCAATGTGGGTTTGACATGTTTCCTGAAATATTTACATTTTATATCTGCAGTGGAAATTGTTTTGGCAGACGTGACCTTGGTATGTAGTACGTTCGATCTGGTCCCGACGTCAGCCAGATTGAATATTTGTATTGTTTAGATGACTGTGCCAGAGTAAAATGTTTGACTACGTAAGGGAATTGTGTCATTGCCTGTTTGCTTCCGTTTATCGTCATCTGGTAACGTCTTCTATGAATCAGTGGGACCCACGAAACTGGGTGTGCCTGCATCAACTCTAAATCGTCAACCCCAGAGAATAATCGTTCTCGATTATTTACCGAAACAGATTATAGTTGGCGGTGAAAATTAAATGCGTGTCCTGTAAATGCCTATAACTAATGTGGCTTTCTAAATAGTACAAATCACATTAAAACAATGATCTTTTTAACGGCTTATGTGTACAGAGATCGGAGAGTTAAAACTGATAATTAATCATCGAATTTCAAATGAACCAAAATTATATTTTCTGAAAATATTTTGCAGATCTGCATTTTGTTTTATAAGAAGGTTTACAAAGTCTTATTTAGAAATCAGATTTTTAAAAATGTAAAAAGACGATGCCATTTGGAGTTTCAGGTTTGTTAGGCAACGTTATCAGCACTCATCATACGGCGTTAAACACAATTCTAAATTAACTTTACCGAAATTACATGGAGGATTGTGCCCATAATGGGATTAGATTTTGAAAAAGGCATGCAATGTGAAACAAATCAATTTTTATCCTTTCCACAATCGCCCGAGAAAGTAAAAGAACAAGACCTCTCAAGCCTTAAGTAGAAACACCGAACACTGGGTTAAAGCCCTTAGGTTCAAGAATGCGCTGGTCGTGGTTTGATCCACATACAGTATATTTCGCAATTAATGCCAATTATGATCCTTGGTTTGGCATCACTAAGCAAGAAGTCATGGGTTTCTACAAAGACGAAAGCGTCAGACCAGTCCACCTTGGGCTCTCCTCCCTCTATAGGTAAAACAGGCATTTCCGGTTTCCCGACCAACCCAAACCTTTTTTCAAAGAATGGGTCTTCAGCAACTCATGCTTCTAATAGGCGGCTATGCTTGTCGTAAGAGGCGACTAACGGGATCGGGTGGTCAGGCTCGCGGACTTGGTTGATGCAAGTCATCGTATCCCAATTGCGTGGATCGATGGTCATGATGTCAATCACAAGACTGCCTGGTCCAGACTCGATTATTTACAGACCACCGTCATATAGCTGGAATATCGCTGAGTGCGCCGTTAAACAACAAACAAACAAATACATTTTGCTCGCGTTGCACCATAGCTTGTATCAGTATCCAGTTACTGTTCGTGTTTTAAACCAGTAGCGTAAATACGTTGCGTTTCTCTACAGACAAACTAGTTATTTAAAAAAGAATAAGTAAAAACCTCGACCTTTCTATCTACCTTATTTTGGATGCAGTACTGCTGTGGTGGCCTTAAACAAAAAGAAACTTCCTTTTTATGCAAATTATGTAAGTGGCGGCCGCTGCAGGGAGAGCTGGACGTGCCTCACCTTATCGCTAACACCTGGTGTCATCGATGACTTTCAGTGATCCGTTCATATAATTTTCACCACAATTTTACTTTTACGCCCAATGGAATCTATTTTGGCAGATAATAGAAACTGATTATTCTCTGGCTTTGACATTTTATATTTAAATAGGAACCACACACATTATTTGTTTGACCTTAAGCTGGCACGCCGTGATAAACAGACCGAAAACAGCATTTTGTACAACTCACTCGCTCGTTTCTTGGGTTTCCTGTCGGTAATTGACTCTTAGATGTTAAGTCAGGAGTGGCGTTTTTGTCTTGTTTTTACCCATCCATGAGTATGACATGAACGGCTAAACTCTGTGATGCAATCTGGTGAATCTGTGTTGCCGGGCGAACATTGAAAATCAATAAACTGGGATCCAAGCAGCAGAAATTGTGTCCTAAACACGTCTCATGTTAAATGATATAACAAGCGCCAATAAAAATAGCCATCCTTTAACATGCACAACTTCTGTAAAGTCTGGAACTTGCATTATCTATTATTGTCGTCCCCGGGGATACCATCCCATTTTGAAAATTTCCATTCTAATACTGAATAAAAGTTCTGATCACAAGCTGTTCTAGAAAGATACATGGTTATAACAAAGTAATGATAATTTGGGTTACTGAGATAGGATTCTTTTATGCAACGGCAAATTTCAAAATTAAGACATTTCGAAAGAGCGACGTTTCATTGTGAGATCCCGTCCCTTCTATATTCCCGAGGTCGTTCAGGGCACAGCGGGTCACCGTGACCTCGTACATTGATTCGATTTAATGCCGATTGGATGTTTTTGTGGATGTCCTATAGGGTTGGCAAAGGACTGGTCCCCTCTTTCTCATTTCCGTCGAGGAATCCGGGATCGATTTTTCTTACTGTGTGTTCGTGAAAACGTGAATGCTTGCCCTACTGATGATATCCGTCACAAACACACGCAAAGACAAGTCAAGTGTTCACCGGAACAGACACGGGAACGTAGAAATTATGGTCAAAATAGAGAATCGGGACATTGTTTATTTTACTTTTATGTGAAATTTGGAAATGTTTTCAACATTTCTATCATAAATCGTGTAAGCTGTACTATAGTCTTGAATACTATTACCCTGATCAAACAATGTTTGAGCAAGAATCGTACGAAATATTCATAGAAAGCGCATGCTCGAGTGTACCTCAGAAGTGAAATGTAGACACCAAAGGCTGGAGCTGCTGGAATATTGCTCGACGTGAAGGCAAAAATGATAATTGTAAACATGAAGTAATTCCTCTTTCAGTGTTGTGTGTAGTTTGTTGTCACTCTGTCATCGACAGGTGATCACTGAAGTACTTTTCACTCTCACTCACTCACTCACTCACTCACACACTCACACACTCACTCACACATCAGTGTTGCATCAAGGAGCACCAGCATAAAGCGATAATAGCACTGATCTGACACCGCTGTTAGTAACATTTAGGCAACAGCTCGATAAAGGACACAAGGGATATCAAGTTTCACCGATGCATCGCTTATTTACACCAGACAATACGACACACGATCATATATCGATTCATGTTTTAAGGCTTTGACATTTTTTTTTTTAAAAAGATCATATTTTCGACTTTTTGCATGAACACGGGTTCGCAACTATGCAGGCTGGTATTGCAACCTTCCTAAATATTACTTTCACAAAAAATGCTAAATCTGAATGCATAATACTATAAGAAAGAGTCTTTCGTCTTGAACACAAGCTGGTTGACAGCAACGACCTTTGGTAGCCGAGCAGTTTAATCATCTCGGTGTCTCGGGTACGTGAGGTTGGCATCACATTTCAACACACACAGCACACACACATGATGGGAAGGGAACCCGGGTCTTCAGTATGACCATCGAATGCTTTAACCACAAGACTACCCGACTTTTTTGTTTGCGCTGAACCTATCGCCCTGTATCATGGTCGTAGCTCCAATTTCATTTTGTACTATTGGACCCAAAAAAAGAGATAAGATCAGTGTGCAAAATGTGATAGTTGAAATTTCTTAACTACAAGTTTGTTTTTAACGACAATCTCGTAACACCTTAAGTAGCATTGGATGTCTGAAGGAGAAGTCTTTGCAGTTGCAGGGTGATACGTGTCGGAGACTGGTTGCGTCGTACTGTTTTTAGGAGACCCTGGAGTCTTAGTTCGATGATTAAGATGAGCTAGTCGCCATCCAAATCTCGTCAGAATGGCTTCACAAACGTTTTTCCTTTCCTTACTACGGCTTGGCTTTTAACACCCACCACCTCCTGGGATCGCCACACGTTGTACCAGACCCTTATCAATCTGCGGGGATCGAGACCCCATTTGTACTGGATCTGTCAAACGTGTGATCCAATTATTATCAACACAAGGCTCCCAATACACTTCCCTCTTGAAGGAAACTCCAGTCGGTCAATGTCGGCCCATGTGAAGCTAAGAGGTCTTCGTTTCATTATCGCCAAGCACATTCAATAGTATTGCCTTTACTTGAAGAGCGCCAGATACTCGTACACGAACGCCGATGTGAAAGATCATCTGATTTCGTGATACCTTCAGCTAAAGATGCCGAAATTAATATGGCTTTTCTAAACTCTGGTCATGGCCAGCCAAGATAACACAGACCAAATACGCAAGGCTTAGTGTCTGGAAGCTAGGCCATATGTGGCTGTGCATTAATAGAGCGTAATAAGTGATAGATAGCTCAATTTCAAACTGTATTTCGGGTTACTGTTGTTGTCTTGATAGCCTGTGCGGGACAAGTACAGCGAGGTATTGGTATTGTACTGAGACTTGCGGAGAAGAGCTTTGTTCCATGAATAAAAAGCTCGAGCTGGCTACAGAGAAGCATGGGTAGACTTTCCACGACATATTTTAGGAATCACTCCTCCCTGTTGCATACGTGATTGATCTTTACAGAGATTCCGTATCTGTGCAGGAAGACACCAGATATTAATGTCTTGTTAATGTTAATGTATATTAATGTCAAATGTTGTGTTTATTGTTCGGTTGCATATTCTTTGTTAAGCCAGTGTATAACTTCACGGCGTCTAAGAAGAAAACGCATATTTCCAGCTTCAGTGGGACTAGAATAGAGCGTCCGCCCAAAGAGCGGAAGGTCCGGGGTTCGATCCCCGGCCACGTCATACCAAACGACGTTTAAATATGACAAGGACTGGTCGGCTCGGAGTATGGTATTCATGTTTAACTGCGGCATTGTATCTCAGTGTGCTAGTGAACGGCATCGGGGCCACGGGTGGCCCAGTCATCTAAAGCGCCGCGATTCGCTGTACAGAGTTGCGTCTCTTGGACACGCCAGAAACCTATGATTGTGGGTTCGAATTCCCGTTTCACCCCAATTATGTTTCTAAGTTTGTCAGCACCATACCCGTGCTCGTGGGTTTCACCGAAGTGGTAAACGTATGAGACCTGCATCACTTCGGGCTTTCCTCCCACATTAAGCTGATACGCCGTGATATAACTGGAATAATGTTGAAAGCGGCGTTAAACCCAACTCAATTACTCACTCTCTCTCTCTCTCTCTCTCTCTCTCTCTCACACACACACACACACACACACACACACACACACACACACACACACACACACACACACATACGTGCATGCACGTTCGCTATTCAAGTGCAATCTTGGACGCTACGTTAAACCCCTCACCTCAGCTCACCTTTGGGGGTAGGGTTGGCCCAGTTGTCTCAGGACCTGAACCCTCTGTGTTGAGTTGGTCTTCTAGAAACCCATGACATGCGTCTGTTAGGCGTGCTATAGACCTATGATCTGGGATTCGAGTTCCAGATTCGCCCTGATTATGTTTCTAGGTATTCTCGTTGGTTTTATGAAAGTGATGAACATCTAGCACATATATTCCTTTGGGGCTTTCCTTCCACATCAAGCTTACATGCAGTGATATTACTGAAATACTGTTTAAAAGCGGACGTTAAACAAAACTCACAATCAATCAAATATGCTCCAATTTAAGACGTCGGTTTTTTTAACTCACCTGATCACCGATCATTGTAGCAGTATGCATCGCCTTAGTAAGTCTGTCGTATAAAACGTTTGACGTAACATACACAATTAACTAACAGTTCAGTTTCCACCCTTGCAGAACTTGGCTGGAATTTCTGGGCTCGATCGTAGTGCCACCAGTGGATATGAAGAGTTACCTCCCATCTTTTCCCCTCCTATTGACGAATCAGATTCCGACCCCCATATCACTTGCATTTGCTTCATACAAAACGGCGGCGCCCAGTGAAGACGATCTGATCGATAATCAAAATATATGTTGTGATAAAACGCGTCTTACTTCGCGAAGTGCATCAAATCACGTGATCACCTTGAAAAATTCTGATGACCTCGAGTTTGCGGTACATATGCTGCAATCGACCGAAATGTGCACGGCTGTTTACGTACCGGACGTCTATTTCGTCACCCGATTGGACTATGCATAGATCCGTTAGTCCAGCCAAAATATAACTCCATAATTCTAACTGACAGCCAAAATTCTAAAATAAACCTCCGAACTATAACAAAAAATGAATTCTTGCAACTAGTTTTTGAGATAGGCCTAAGCAGTCAATGTCACGCAAGTTGATAACTACGTATATTTGTAATATATAGTTTCAGTTAATTTGTGTTTAATGACGACCTCAAATATGATAAAACCCAAGCGTTTGTAAAGTGTATACCCGTGAAGATCCGGGCTAGAATAGGCCTTAAGCAACCTATGCTTGTCGTCAGAGGCGACTATCGGGATCGGGTGGTCAGGCTTGGTGACTTGATGCAGGTCATCGTATCCCTATTGCGTAGATCGATGTTCATGATTTCAATCACTAGTTTGTCTGACCCAGACTCGATTGTTTTACAGATCGCCGTATATATACACGGAATACTGCAGAGTGTGGCGTTAAACAACAAACAAACGTAAACTGTAAATTAAAAGTCTGTCCCCTAGTTTCCTTGTAATGAAACTATAATATGCCGAAATTAAGTTCAACTATGGAGCATCTACGTACAACCTTTCATGTCACTGACAAAAGTTCCCTTCACATTTGCCCCCTTCATCGGGAACAACATACACTGTCTTGAAAAGCCCGAATGGTATGCACGTATTGTACATATTTCTTTGTCTAGTATATTACAAGTCGTAACCGTTATGTTTGCATTACAGATGAGCTGCATGGGCATTGTGGTTCCCGACGCCGAGGTGATGGCTCTTTGGGCAGCAAACAATGGCTTCCCAGCCGACATGGAACAGCTTTGTAAATCCGAGGTAATTTCAGGAAAGGGGCGCTCTAAATGAAGTTGTCACATTCCATTCTTTTCCCTACAGCTTCCATGAGAGACGATAATCCTTTCGCCTTCCGTAAAATTTAATTGGCCCAAGGTTTAAAGGATTCTTTGAAGATTTCTGCCTTTGGTCGACTTTCAGGAGGTCGCCATGTGAAAAGAAGTCTATAGGAAACCGGCTGAATATATTTGTTTTGAGAGACAATGGCGTGGGTACTTAAGAATCATTTAGATGTATCTGAGCGAGATCAATAGAAGTCAATAGGGAAAATATATCCCAAGTATCTTGCCAGTAGCTTCAGACAGAATCAATGGCAGGGGCGGCGTTTCCCTTGCGTAACGCGTGCTATAGCCCGAAACTTTGTACCTCCTGATTATTCACAATATTGATGACTCTTTAGTTAGATTAAGGGTGTATCTTTGACCATGTAACCATGGAAACTAACAAATTACCACAGGCAACTGCATCACAAGGCATATATGAAGAATTTGGTACATTATGATATTGACATTCAGTTTTACATGAGGGTGTTTTTCAAGGGATACGCAACACGTGCACCTGTGTCAGATGGCTTCATATCTATCGCGTAGTCTTTGTAATCATTATTTTGAAATATTCAGTTAATATTGACAAATATTTCTATAATGTTGAAAAACTTTCATTTAAGTGATTTTATGAATGAAAGGCAGCTCTGGTCATCAATGCCACGTGAAGGGGCGGTCGGGTAGCCCAGTGGTTAAAGCGTTCGCTCGTCACGCCAAAGACCCTGGCTCGATTCCCGACATGGGTACAATGGGTGAGCCCATTTCTGGTGTCCCCCGCCGTGATATTGCTGGAATATTGCTAAAAGCGGCGAAAAACCATACTGACTCACTCACTCAATGTCATGTGAAAAATTAAATAAAACGGTTATGCTTATGTTAGAACAGTAAATAAAATATTTGGGGGGGGGGGGGGGGGGGGAATTGAAAAGAAAAGATTAATAATACAAATAAAAAAGGGAAACGTAATTAAATATTTCCTTTGTGATAAAATGATCCAATGTCATATTTGTGTATTTAGACAGTACACATGTTTGTTATTATGAGTCTGGTAATAGTTGAAGTTTTGTTGTACTTTGTTAAAATATATGTTTTACATACATCATTACGCCCTTTGAAAATCGAGACCTGTGTAATTCGGGCTATTGCGACAGCCTACTGTAAGTCGTTGGTTGCCGTCGTGTTTGGATGCTTGTCGTCGGTGACTGCCATATATTTAATGAAATCACTCTCTTTGCAGCAAGTGAAAGATATCATCCTCAAAGACATGCTGGAACAGGGAAAGAAGGCCGGATTCAAAGGCTTCGAACAGGTGATGCGTTTATAGCCAGACTGGGGATTATTTGAAACCGCTGGATAGAGCAATTACTCGCTAGATATGGATGTGTTATCAAAGCATGGGCCATGGGTTCCGATATAAGCTCAGCTATCTTTCGGGTTTAGTCTAATGGAGAACTTAGTGATTAGTGGCTCTTGTTCCCACTTCTTTGACAACGCTGGAAGTCGTTCTGAGTGATGATACTCTCAGAGGGAATCGGACAGAGTATCCGCTTCATGTTAGATAATGGCTGTGGTGCCGGAATCCACAAGGAGACGATCTTGGTTGAATCAATGGGAAAAGAACTCGCAATTATTTGATGATCTTAGAAAGAAAATTGGGTAGGGTCAGATTTTGGAATTTCTCCAATTTTTTCCCTCGATATCTATTGAAATATGACATAAACATCTCACATCTCACAAATGTTTATTATTATGAAACAATGTGTGAAGCCAATTTGTGGTGTCCTCCGCCGTGATATTGCTGGAATATTGCTAAAAGCGGCGTAAAACAATACTCACTCACTCACTCACTAATATTATGAAAAGGTCACTCGCTACGCCGAAGGACCGGATTTCAATCTCCACGTGGGCACTGTGTGTGAAGCCCATTTCTACTGTCCGATGCTGTGATATTGCAGGAAAAGTGTCATAATAATACTCGCTTACAATATAAGGGTTGCCTTGTGGTTAAAGCTTCGGCTCGTCACGCCTACCCCCATTTCCGGTGTCTTGCCTACGTGATATGACAGGTTTCATGTCGCATTTGCATTATTCCTAAGTCACTCACTCACTCACCACTATGTTATTCTAAAGGACAGATGTGTTATATATATTACTCAAAAGAAGTTAAGGACCACCCGATTCTTTCATAATACTATGGCATGGCAGATTAACTATAGTCACTGTGTAATAGGGAAGACGCGGGTAGTTCTTAATTTCTTTTGAGTAGTATTGTTTAAGCTGACATAATCGGATGAATCTAATGGCGCCATGGAATATGTGATTACACTATTTGTCTCTCTTCCCTATATGGGTGTCATAATGCCGATGCAACGTTTAATATTTAACTCGCTTGTAACTCTATATAATGGTTTCAAGGGTAATAATTTTCACTGACATTACCAGGGGTAAGAGGGCCAGGTCGTCCAGTCGTCTATGTCGACGCTATGCACTATGCAGAGTTACATCCCTTAGTCGTGATTCTTGGTGTGTTTCCACCGTACCCTTGATCGTAAACTTCAACAACAAATACCGTCATCCCTTTCGGGTTTCCTCGTCGCTATATGGCTGAAATAATGCCGATGAGACCTTAAGTTTCAATTCACTCACTCACACTTCAGGGGTTTCCACCCGCAAACGGGGGGGGGGGGGGGGGGATGATTCAGTTGGATTCCTGGCTGTGAGAGATTGCTTACTGCTGCGTTAAACACCAGGGGGCACGGGGGACCCAGTCGTCTAAGGCGCCGCGATTCGCTGTGCAGAGTTACGTCCCTTGGGCACGCCAGAAACCTACGATCGAATCCCAGTTCGCCCCGATTATGTTTCTAGGTTTGTCAGCACCATACCCGTGCTCGTGGGTTTCATCGAAGTTGTAAACGTCTGAGACCTGCATCACTTCGGGCTTTCCTCCCACATTAAGCTGACACGCCGCGATATAACTGTAATACTGTTAAAAACGGCGTTAAACCCAACTCACTCACTCACTCACTCCAGCCGCAAACGTTATATGACGGAAATACTGTTCAAAGCAGCCTAAAACTCGGCTCATTTGCTTGACCTAGGATTATAGGGCAGTAGGTCAAATTGGAAGATCAGTATTGTCTTAATTTTTTTTATAGATTTATCAATGCTCTCGAATTTATTATGTACATCCGTTTACCCTTCCGTCCAACTTGCCAGTTCGAATGTAACCCTGATTGAATTTTGATGATGACATGTCGCCCTTCTCCGTCACCTGCCATTCGGCATACATCGGAATGACACAAATGCGACAAGGGCAGACGTCTACCATATTAGGCGTATCTCGGTGCAATTCGAAGCAATTCAATTCAGTCCATAGATCAGAAAGTGATAAAACATCATTATTGAAGGATCAGTGCTGGCGTGCAAACCTTTATTCAACAGATTAAAAACCGATCGTTTGAATTGATTTATCTGAGAGCTGTTTTCAATTGTAATGGATTGCTCACCTCAAGTTCAGGGACGATTTACCACCAGTCCCGCTGGGATGTCGCGAGTATTGATATGCGTTCAGTATGGAGAATTCCCGACACAAACATGGATTCAACTCACGAAGCAAAATCTTGGTGGTCACAGTGGTTAAAATACATCCTGAAGCAGTTATTCATTTATTTGATTTACTTCATTAGTCAATCGTTGAATCAGGAGTTACAGTACATAAAGACCGCATTCCCCATAATTTGATTTGGCCCGTGAAGATCCGGGGTAGAATAGGTCTTCAGCAACCCATGCTTGCCCTCACAGGCGACTATGCTCGTCGTAAGAGCTCGAGGCGACTAACGGGATCGGGTGGTCAGGCTCGCTGACTTGGTTGATGCATTTCATCGATCCCGACTGTGTGGATCGATGCGCATGTTGTCAATCACTGGATTGTCTGGTCCAGACTCGATTATTTACAGACCGCCGTCATATAGCTGGAATATTGCTGAGTGCAGCGTTAAACAACTAACAAACAAATCATTTGATTTGGTGATTGGATTTCTGACGGGTAGCCTACTGGTTAAAGCGTTCGCTCGTCACGCCGAATAACCTTATTCGATTCCCGACATGGGTACAATGTGTGAAGCCCATTTCTGGTGTCCCCCGACGAGATATTGCTGGAATATTGCTAAAAGCGGCGTAAAACAATACTCACTCACTCACTCACTAATATTATGAAAAGGTCACTCGCTACGCCGAAGGACCGGATTTCAATCTCCACGTGGGCACTGTGTGTGAAGCCCATTTCTACTGTCCGATGCTGTGATATTGCAGGAAAAGTGTCATAATAATACTCGCTTACAATATAAGGGTTGCCTTGTGGTTAAAGCTTCGGCTCGTCACGCCTACCCCCATTTCCGGTGTCTTGCCTACGTGATATGACAGGTTTCATGTCGCATTTGCATTATTCCTAAGTCACTCACTCACTCACCACTATGTTATTCTAAAGGACAGATGTGTTATATATATTACTCAAAAGAAGTTAAGGACCACCCGATTCTTTCATAATACTATGGCATGGCAGATTAACTATAGTCACTGTGTAATAGGGAAGACGCGGGTAGTTCTTAATTTCTTTTGAGTAGTATTGTTTAAGCTGACATAATCGGATGAATCTAATGGCGCCATGGAATATGTGATTACACTATTTGTCTCTCTTCCCTATATGGGTGTCATAATGCCGATGCAACGTTTAATATTTAACTCGCTTGTAACTCTATATAATGGTTTCAAGGGTAATAATTTTCACTGACATTACCAGGGGTAAGAGGGCCAGGTCGTCCAGTCGTCTATGTCGACGCTATGCACTATGCAGAGTTACATCCCTTAGTCGTGATTCTTGGTGTGTTTCCACCGTACCCTTGATCGTAAACTTCAACAACAAATACCGTCATCCCTTTCGGGTTTCCTCGTCGCTATATGGCTGAAATAATGCCGATGAGACCTTAAGTTTCAATTCACTCACTCACACTTCAGGGGTTTCCACCCGCAAACGGGGGGGGGGGGATGATTCAGTTGGATTCCTGGCTGTGAGAGATTGCTTACTGCTGCGTTAAACACCAGGGGGCACGGGGGACCCAGTCGTCTAAGGCGCCGCGATTCGCTGTGCAGAGTTACGTCCCTTGGGCACGCCAGAAACCTACGATCGAATCCCAGTTCGCCCCGATTATGTTTCTAGGTTTGTCAGCACCATACCCGTGCTCGTGGGTTTCATCGAAGTTGTAAACGTCTGAGACCTGCATCACTTCGGGCTTTCCTCCCACATTAAGCTGACACGCCGCGATATAACTGTAATACTGTTAAAAACGGCGTTAAACCCAACTCACTCACTCACTCACTCCAGCCGCAAACGTTATATGACGGAAATACTGTTCAAAGCAGCCTAAAACTCGGCTCATTTGCTTGACCTAGGATTATAGGGCAGTAGGTCAAATTGGAAGATCAGTATTGTCTTAATTTTTTTATAGATTTATCAATGCTCTCGAATTTATTATGTACATCCGTTTACCCTTCCGTCCAACTTGCCAGTTCGAATGTAACCCTGATTGAATTTTGATGATGACATGTCGCCCTTCTCCGTCACCTGCCATTCGGCATACATCGGAATGACACAAATGCGACAAGGGCAGACGTCTACCATATTAGGCGTATCTCGGTGCAATTCGAAGCAATTCAATTCAGTCCATAGATCAGAAAGTGATAAAACATCATTATTGAAGGATCAGTGCTGGCGTGCAAACCTTTATTCAACAGATTAAAAACCGATCGTTTGAATTGATTTATCTGAGAGCTGTTTTCAATTGTAATGGATTGCTCACCTCAAGTTCAGGGACGATTTACCACCAGTCCCGCTGGGATGTCGCGAGTATTGATATGCGTTCAGTATGGAGAATTCCCGACACAAACATGGATTCAACTCACGAAGCAAAATCTTGGTGGTCACAGTGGTTAAAATACATCCTGAAGCAGTTATTCATTTATTTGATTTACTTCATTAGTCAATCGTTGAATCAGGAGTTACAGTACATAAAGACCGCATTCCCCATAATTTGATTTGGCCCGTGAAGATCCGGGGTAGAATAGGTCTTCAGCAACCCATGCTTGCCCTCACAGGCGACTATGCTCGTCGTAAGAGCTCGAGGCGACTAACGGGATCGGGTGGTCAGGCTCGCTGACTTGGTTGATGCATTTCATCGATCCCGACTGTGTGGATCGATGCGCATGTTGTCAATCACTGGATTGTCTGGTCCAGACTCGATTATTTACAGACCGCCGTCATATAGCTGGAATATTGCTGAGTGCAGCGTTAAACAACTAACAAACAAATCATTTGATTTGGTGATTGGATTTCTGACGGGTAGCCTACTGGTTAAAGCGTTCGCTCGTCACGCCGAATAACCTTATTCGATTCCCGACATGGGTACAATGTGTGAAGCCCATTTCTGGTGTCCCCCGACGAGATATTGCTGGAATATTGCTAAAAGCGGCCTAAAATTCGATTATTTCTCCGCTCTGTCTTTCAACTGCCAGAACCTGCTAGTCGTGGGTTTAAATCACAGATTTCTTCTGAATATGGTAACTTGTTTGTTAGCATGATACTTGTTCTCGGGTGTCACTTAAGCTGTAATTATAAACAACCTGCGTCGTGGTGTGCTTTTCATTCAGTATCAGTCATTTTGAATAGTCCCGAACGTTCATGTATATCTTTTTGAAATATTGACAGATTACAGAAGTTGGTTCAAGATCACTGTTTGTTTCTCAAAAGTGGTTGAAATGACTTTCTCCCATAACTCGGCAAAGCCTCGTTCTAATCGTGACAGATTAATCACTCGTTTGTAGATTTTTCGGTAACAACCGAACACAGTGGTTAATTCTCTGTCATTTAACCTGGTGCAAGAAAGCTGTGAAATTAATTGAAAGGGTATTCCAGGAGCTATTGTCGTGGAAAAGCAACAAAACGTTAGATTATCGATTTTGTAGGTTTTTTTTACATTGCCGTCACTTTGTAAACAAAAACAAATAAGTCCTATTTGAAGACGAATATATTGTCTCAAGGTACAGTGAGTGAGTAGCCGCTTTTAGCAGTATCCCAGCAATTTCACGGCGGGGGGCACAACAAATGGGCATCACACATTGTACGTCTCGCGGCACAGCTAGAATGTAAGCCATGCTACCAAGGACTTTGGTAATAAGGCTTCATTTGACCTCAGCTCCCTGCCGTGATTGATTTAGTACGTCACTCATGTGTCACGTGTGCACTTTATTACGAGTAGTCGGTGTTTAGTAGGTTCTACATGGGGCTCTACTATGACCAACGTGCCCGTGGAACATCGAGCTGGAAGAGACAACCTTAACGTTAGTTTATTGCCGGAATTAAACGAGCGTACACCCGCGGTCTTTGATCTTGTGGAATGAGTTTCAAACTGTCTCATCGGTGATGCAAGTCCTCCGTTGTGTCTGTTGCTTCCTTTGAACAGACCTGAACGTGTACGTTTCATGTGGCAGACATGAACTGAGTGGTTTTAAATATATAAGAGGTCGTGGGCACCTCAACCTTCGGTTATTCTTTCATACTTTGTCGTAAGAGGCGACTAACGGGATCGGGTGGTCAGGATCGCTGACTTGGTTGATGCATGTCATCGACGCGTGGATCGATGCTCATGATGTCAATCAATGGATTGTCTGGTCCAGACTCGATTATTTACAGACCGTCATCATATAGTTGGAATATTGCTGAGTGCGGCGTTAAACGACAAACAAACGAACAAATCTTGCATACTACTGTGTTCAATATGCTGATCCTGAAACTTAATTTTCGCATGCTGTACAATCGGATATGTTATTGGTGAAGTGAGAAATTTGCTGATATTGAACCCATTCGAAAATATTTTTGTTGTGACATGGGTACCCGATAGTGAGGATTAAAGCCTTTGATTTCGTGTATTTAATATTGTTTGGAACTATAGGTCTGCATTCTGACAAATAAGGTTGTCTTTTTGAGAACAAATTAACTTCAATCGGATTTCAAAGTTTAATGCAGACTTTTCGTTTTGTTATGGGTACCCGATAAAAAGGCTTTTTATGTGGTCCTCCAAATGGTTTACTATTTTCATTGTTTTCATCGTTATCATTATCGTTGCTCATGCTATCAGTCCCCTGCTTACCTGGCCAAGATGTTTATTTAGAGCCCGTGTGAATTTGCTGGGATATCGTTACTGTGGCGTAAAACATTTACTCGTCATATTATGTTTTCACTTTACCATCAGACCCGTGAAGATCCGGGTTTGACGTGATCGTCAGCAACCGATACTTGTCATATGAGGCGAGGGGGCACGGGTGGCCCAGTCGTCTAAGGCGCCGCGATTCGCTGTGCAGAGTTGCGTCCCTTGAGCATGCCAGAAACCTATGGTTGTGGGTTCGAATCCCAGTTCGCCCCAATTATGTTTCTAGGTTTGTCGGCACCATACCCGTGCTCGTGGGTTTCACCGAAGTGGTAAACGTCTGAGACCTGTATCACTTCGGGCTTTCCTCCCACATTAAGCTGACACGCCGTGATATAACTGGAATAATGTTAAAAGCGGCGTTAAACCCAACTCACTCACTCACTCATAAGAGGCGACTTACGGGATCGAATGGTCTGGATCTGTTACTTGGTTATTGTATGTCATCGTATCCCAATTGCATAGATCGATGCTAATGATGACAAATCATTGGATTGTCTTGACCAGACTCGATTATTTACAGACCGCTGTCAAATAGCTGGAATATTTTTGATTACGGCGTTAAACAACAAACAAAACTCATCATCAGGTTTGTTGTTTTTTTTCAGGTGAAGGACATCCAACTCCAAGCTGAACTCTTCTCCGTTGAGAACGGCCTCCTGACGCCCACATTCAAGTCCAAGCGGCCTCAGCTGAGGCTAAAGTTTAAACCTGTGATGGCGGAACTCTACGAGAAGAACAACATGTAACAATATAGCAGCGCATGCGTGTTGGCAATACTGCTGGATTTACGACTATTGTCGTTACTGCCTTGTGACACACCAACACAATTGCAAAACAACTTAATATACTGATAGAAAGAAATAAGGGCACGGTGAGGGATAGCATGTGTTGGAGGGGCGTCCCGTGTGTACGCCAAAATGATATTTTAAATGAGAAGCATTTGTTTAGCACAGAAGTTGATATTATTCTGCAACATTCATCCATCTTCCCGAGGCAAGAGTTAAATGACTTTAAAAGTTCAGTTACCACCCTTGCCGAACTGGACTGGTATTATGGAGTTAGAATTTGGCTGGACGAACGAGTCTTTGCATAGTCCAATCAAAATCGCGCAATGAAATCGAAATCCGGTTCGTAAACTGTAAAACAGATTTCGGTCGATTGCAGGATTTGCAAAGCATGTGCACCGGCAACTCGTTGTCAACAGATATTTTCCAAATCTTTTCATGTTTTTCATCAAGGTGCTCACGTGGTTTGATGCACTTCGCGAAAGACCCGTTTTTTCACAACACAGATATTGATTATCGATCAGATCGTCTGGACTGGGCGCCGCCATATTGTTTGAAGCAAATGCAAGCGACACTGAGAGATGGAATCTGATTAGTCCATAGGAGAGGCATAGAAGGGACGTAACTCGTAATAACAACCGGTGGCGCTACGATCGAGTCCAGGGATTCCAGCCAAGTTCGGCAAGGGTGAAAACTGGACTAAGTCAGTTAACTCTCTTGTCTCAGGATGATGCATTCATCATGTACCAGTGACTGGTTTAACCAATCCAGATTCGATTATTTTCCAACCACCGTGATAATAATTGCAACATTGCTGCCTGCGTTGTTAAACGATACCCATTCATTACACTACTGCTATGTTCTCTTATTAATTTCCATCTGTATATGTGTGTGTGTTCCTAATATATTAGCTCAAACTGTATATATGTTGAAAATTTACTTGTCCATATTTCAGGACACATTTCCAATGGTCTGTATTATACTATGTATATATTTCGGAAACCAGAGAAAGTATATATATATATATTGTTTGTTGCTACGAACAAATAGCAAATGTCTGACGAAGCCACCGTTGTTATCGCATTCGTTCCATTATAAAGGTCATCAGGGACCGACTATAGACAGATCAAATACAGTTTACAGTTACTCATACTTAGAGCTAAGCAAATTTATGATGTTCCCCTTGAGAGCATAATAAAGTCGGTTTGATACACTGTTGTACAAAATACGTTTAGATCCTAGACAGAACCTTATCACGTGTCCCATATTGTAAATGCGTTTAGTGACCTAAAAATGTTCATAGAGATAAGCATGCTTAAAATTGTTTGAAATCTTAACATGTTAAGTTTCCCGATGTGTTGAAGGTCTATTTCTGTTTTAAATCTAACATGTTTTGAACCAACACATGTTGATATATTGATTCCTGATCTGTTTTGCCATGTCTGTAGTAGCCCCTGGCGGTGTAGAGGGCAAACATAGAGGGCAAAGTACAATACAGCCTCAACGTTAACACTAGGGGCTTGCAAGTCACAACAAGTATAGTTCGCTACGATCCTCTTGAGTGCTGCTGTATTTATGAAAGCATTAGGGGCAGTGGGTGGCCTAGTGTTAAAGCGTTCGCTTGTCACGCCTTAGTTCCGGGTTCGATTCCCTACATGGGTACAATGTGTGAAATTCATTTCTGGGGTCACCGCCCAGATGTTACTGAAATATTGCTGAAAGCGAAACCATACTCACTATCAAAGCATTATGAAATCTTAACTCTATTCAGAGAATTCAATATACTTGGACGGAAAAATATTATTCGAATATGATAATATGACTTATCACTACTAAAAGACAGTAAAAGACAATCCCAACAAGATTACAACTGAACGGTCTGACATGATATTCTGTTTCATAGCTAAGGCCAGGTTCACACAGTGCCGATTATGGCTCCCGTTTGAAATGAGACCGCGCTACGACACGAAAAGTGAAAAAGTCTGATTACTATCCTCAATGATCTGGAATGTCCTATCATTGTCTGAACGCAGTCGTATACGTTCGTAACAGAGTCCTACGGATCGGGAAAGGTCCAGAGAGGTCGGCCAAGCACTCCCGACAGTTTGGTGCGTCCCGTAACATTCGGGAAACTCAGCCGATTTTGTCTAGTCGGATTACAATCGTGATTATGTCGAGACAGATTCTGTTGTATCTGATGAAAATCGTAACAATGTAATGTTTTGTCTGGGCGGTGTCCTGTGCATCGGGACGCTGTCGTGATGAACGGGCATGAATTGTTCTTTGCTGTTTCTTGTCGACTGCGTCCAGATTGCGTTCAGATCTTGCCGAATGCGAACCGTCTTTGTCGGTTCACTGTCCGTTCACTGTCTGGTCGCATTCGGGAGAATCGGGACGCTGTCGGGACAGATTCGGTCGTTGTTTATCATGTGGAAGATACTAATCGGATCAGATTCGGATTGAGAACGGGAGAATCGGGACGAATTCGGCCGGAAACGGCTCAATCGGAACGCTTCCTGAACAATATCCGATTGTTTGTGAATTTCCCGCCACGAACCACAGGATCTTGATCAGACTTTTGCCAAATTTTAATCGGGAATGGTCCTATGGAGGACGGCAGTAAAAATCCTGAATGTGTGACTGAACCCTAACGCATGTTTTACAGTGTAGTATACTGTCTCGAGAAGGGGGTCAGTCCCAAGGTGTAACATATATCCCCATGATACAGAGTGTGAGAGGGTGTATGGTATCAATCGTGAATACATGGCCACGCCAGTGGTGGAAATAGAACAATTATATTAAAACGTTTGTAACATCACAATTTGTTGTTGTCTGTTGTGATGTTCCCGCTGGTGCGGAATCGGCACATCGTGGCGCAGGAGTCGGGATCGGGTGGTCAGGCCCGCTGAAGTGGTTGATGCATGTCATCGTATCCATCGATGCTCATGATGTCAATCACTGGATTGTCTGGTCCAGACTCGATTATTTACAGACGGCCGTCATGTAGCTGGCATATTGCTGAGTGCGGCGTTAAACAACAAACACACAAATACTGCTCTCGATTAAATACAGAAACCGAACACATTTAGATCTAATGACAGTTTGTAACTGTTCCAGGGTAATAGTTATTTCACTACCCTTTCACTTGCTTCCTCTGCATATTTGCATGAGGCACCAGTGAAGGTCCGGGTAGAGAATAGGTGGGCGTTGAACAACAAACAAACAAATCTTTGCATCATGGGGTCACGGCTGACCCAGTCGCTGTGCAGAGTTGCGAGCCTTTGGCACCCAGAAACCGACGATCGTGGGTTCGAATCCCAGTTCGCCTCGATGTGATTTCTGAGTTTGTAAGCAATACACCCGTGCTCATGGGTTTCTAAGACATGCGTCACTGTTCAAAGGCGCGTTAAACACAACACACTGCCTAATATAATATATACTTGCGACCATTTGGATGAACATCCTCTTCATGCCAAGTACTCGGCAAAAATCGGTTGTATCTTAGAAATTGATCAAATTTAGATCAATGTATGACTTAGATATTTTCTAGAGGTTCATGAAGTTCGGGCTTTGTGGAAGGGTGAAGCTTAACACATGTCCCACTGTAAATACTTGTATATGTCTTTCAGAAGGGAATAATACGTTATGCGTTATGGTATTAAAGCTGAACCAAATGTTTGCTACTCACAAACATCATATGTTCAGCTCGAAACATTAAATTGATTATTATATTTGCTCTACGTATTTTTTTACGGTGGTTCTGCCATCACTGACTTGATCAAATGTTTGGATAAGATAATTACTGGAATCTCCGCGTTAAACAATCACTTCAATCACATGATTAACAAACATCAAAGACGTTAGAGCGGTGTATATGTAATAAAAGAAGACATTGCTTAGAATGAGGACGCGAATATCGATGACAGCGGTACATAACCGATTCTTATTAATCGGCCCATAATTGTGAATCATTGAACTCCTCCGACCAGGATAGTTGATTTATCGTTGATTAAAAGCTGATATTCTGCGTTTGAGACCAGACGAACCTGACGAATTGAGACCAGATTCTTATTGCGTCAGTGAGTGTAATGGATGCGCGCCTTCACTGAAGAGACGGAATACATGAAGTCTTAAATACCTGCACATCGTCAGCACAACAGACGGAATGGGGATTGAATCGGAGGTGACGATGGTTTGGCGACCTCTGACGATTGAAAACAGATTAAGATCGCCTATTAAGGCGATTCCATGTCAGCGATTGTTGGTGATTTGTTCTGGGTGTAATTAAAGCGGGATCCGCGATATGGGAATCCATACGACAGATTCACAGTCGCTACTCCGGATGCGGATTGAGCACTGAGAGGGCAATAGGTTGGCGAAAAGGTAATGCCAAATATCAGCGGGTAGGACCAGGAATACAAATATCCAGCTTAGCTTTAATCGAGTGCTAACTATTGATTCTGTCCATGTCTTTGAGAGACTAAAATTCAAATGTTTGCTCTTTCGGTCCCACTCTACTGGTATCGATTGTGGCGTGCCTGCGATGGGGCCAAACGTGAGCCGACAAAATACCCGCAGTGATTGCTCTCTCTAAATGCACGTTTTAGGACTATTTTCCATCAACAGGGAGTGGACTCAAGATCAATTTATAGCCGTTTGCTGCTCTTTTAACTGATTAAAGTACGTTTTTTATATAAATATGCTTCGCCGATTTTTCTCCCGTCTTTGCAGTAATGTAGTTGTTCGTGTTCAACAGAGATGCTGCGATTCTGATCTTCGTTATCTTCAAGGTGCTCGGCGGAGTGTGTGAGGGTATTTACGTCATAATAAGCATATTTCTTATCATTGCTTACTTCAACGGTCTGTTTAGGCCATACGACGGTGGCGTATCGAGTCTGGACCACACAATCCAGTAATAGACATTATGAGAAACGACGACGACGTCGGGGTGGAATGACAAGCAATCAAGCAAGCCACTGAGCCTGATCACGTGATCCATCATGTCGCCTCGTACGACAAGCATAGGTTGCTGTGGACCTGTTATAAACCGGGATCCTGATGGGATATTTATAACTGAAAATTGATAATGTATATGATGATACAGACTTTAAAGCGTTACATACTCGGTTTACTTGGGTAAAAGGTGCAACTTGTTTTTCATTTTCAAATTGCTATACATGTTTATGGAATTAATTTCACAATAGTTTGTTTAAAGAACGGGAAAATAGCAAGGAAGAACAAAAAATGTGTTATCTTAAAAACATTTAATCTTTCTAAAACATATGGGGTACGTCTTTATTCATATTCTTAAAAGAATTT